TCGTTTTGTTTTTTGGTCGCAACTATGATATCAAAGTTTTATTTGATCTTTATGTGAAATGTACTATTTGTAATGTAATCCCTCTTAACGATAATAATACCACTTTCTTTAACCATATGTTAAGGTTTTAATTGTCACTAAACATTATATGCAAATGGACTTGTGCAAATTCAATATAATAACATATGCTTTATTTTTTTATTAGCCAACAAGTGGCTGGTGATTAATTTATTAATCTCTCTCTAATCATGTTTCATATATAAAAGTAATGTTTTTTTTTTAAATAACAATTTTGTTTAGTTCTAGCAATATGGTAGTGTCCACGTTGAACTTGGACTCACCTTCGTTGTAGTCTCTGTAATTTTTTTTAATAATTGTATATCAACTTGATATTAGCCTTTGACGATGTTGAATGGTTGGACAATTTTCCATCTACGATATCAATAGGTATTTAGAGAAAAAATAAATCAATTTTCTTGACATCTCTAGAGAATAAATAAATCAAAATTTCACAACAAATGCTAAAAAAATATCCCTTCTGAGTTGACAAAAAAAAAAATAATATCCCTTCTGAATGTCTCAAGAATTTGTTATTTGTATTAGTAGAAAAACTCATGAAAGTAATGTCTCAACTATCAGAATAAAATATATCTCAGAAAAGTATTTATTATACCTCACCAAAGCAAACCAATGTACAAAAAAAAAAAAAAGAACAACAAAAGGCCTTGACAAAAGCAGATGGCCTATCAATACATTACACAATTTTTAAAAAATGGTGACAAAAGAAACAAATGGATAAATAATGGAGCCAATACCTTTCATGGTCTAAAGTTGGAATCACTCATCAAGCTGCACCAACCTTGCCAAAGAGCGACTTTCGGATCTACACACATGATCAATATAACATCTTTCAGATTCTCAAAGCTTAGAGAAAGATCCAAACTTTTTCTTGAGTTCTTGTGAAAAAGACAAATTAGATTTCAAAAAGCCTTAGAAACTAACAGAAATATATGTATTGCAATTATAAGTGATGGTCGTGCAATTTTAGCAGAGAGTTTTAGTTAACCTCGGGAAGATTCTTGCGGAAGGCAACCTCCAACCTCGCATCAAGCGTGTTCTCACACACGATTTTCCCATCACGAGAAGCCATTACCACTCCTCCAGCACTGTTACATACGTCACAAGTGACATTTAGTATAATCACAAGTTTGGTTCTTTATAGCTTTTGTTGTGTTGGTTTGAAAGAAATTTACCAGAAAGAAGCATGAGGATCATCATCAGAAGGAGCAGGAGGAAGGAAAATGTCCTTGTCTACTATTATCTCAGGAGCATGAACCTTTGCTTTCTCGCAATATTCTTCACTCGCATCATCTAGCATAGACTCCACCATGTGAAGGTCTTCTTCACGGCAACGCAGCAACACTGAAGGCTCCTTCAGTCTAAGCAAACACTAGAATTGCATAAACAAACCCAATTTAGAGAAAGTAACAAACTAACTACTATACTATAAGTGAGATTGTTATGATCTGAGAGTGACCTGAACGATGAGATGTTTCAAGAGATGCTTATACTGATGGTGATGATGGTTGAAGAAGCCATGTTGGCTAACTTTCAGGAGTTGCTTTGCTGCCTCTTCTTTCATTGCATTGACAATGTCATCTTGGGCTTGCAAAACTTTGATCCTCGATGCGTTCAGTTGCATTGAGTAATCACTTTTGTACACACATAACAAAAGCAAACACACAGTATTCATTAACAAGTGGCATAAATCAAAGACAAGACCATTCTATTTCTTAAGAACAATTAAGAACCAGCATCATCAGTATCTAACAAGAACATTCCAGATAATACAGAGAATCAGATCTGAAAACCAAAGGCAATAAATTTGAGCTTACATTTTCCTTCTGACATCGACCTGTTTCTCCTTCTTCTCATACTCCTGTCTAATCTTCTTCTTCTCTGCCTCAACGAGCTGCAACTTCTCAATGTTGAACTCCTGTAACATCAAAAATACCACACACACGATTAGATCAAAAACATTTACCAGTAACAGAACAAACAACCCGAGGTTCACAGATCATAAAATTAATCCAACAGGAATCTTAAGATCAAATAAAAATAACAGTCAACAAATTTTAAAATGAAAATCAAATGGTCGCAAATTCACGTAGTTGTGGAGTGATATTCCGGAGATCTTAAGATCCGAAGAACAAGTGAAATAGCTGCACAACACTCAAAATCAAATGGTTCAACAGTGACGTAGTGAAATTAAAACGAGAGAGAGAGAGAGAGAGACTTCTTCGGCGGCGACGGAGATCTCGTTGGCCTTTTCTTCGGCTTCCTGGCGGATAAACCTCACCATCTGTTGGATCTGGTTGGAAACATCAGCGTCGTTCATCTTCGCCGGAGAAATTCTGAGACAGACGGAGACAAGAACAAGTCTCTTTCCTGGAGATCTTGTAGTATTGATTGATTGGATGAAGAAGGTGGAGAGTATTGAAACCGTTGTGTCTTTTTTGGTCACAAGCAGTTATTATATGGCCAAATCATGTTCGTTGTTTTGTTTTTTTTTTCGGGTTCAATTAGATTGGGACTAGAACCATCCCATCACATGTGTTACTCGTTTTATGTCAATAAAATAATAGAAATCGTTGATATGTATCCAAAACAGCCATGTACGTCAAATTGTCATTTATAAAAGAGAAAATTTGAGAAAATACTTTTCTATGAGTTTAGATTTTGAAAAATACACCATCTTTTATTTTTTTTGAAATCTACACTTATCTGTAAATAAAAAAACTAAATCAACCTAAATAAGAATTCTAGTAATTTAATATATATAAATCATAAATTTTAATTAAAAATAATAATAATAATAAATTTTAATATAAGAATTAGTTTTCTCTTTTGACTTTCTTTTCGATACAAACATGTGTTTCCTACTGTGTGTATATGGACACAAATTGTATACTTTACTGAAAATTTTAGTTTATTTATTTGTTCATTAGACAATGTGAAATTCAGTTACTTGATTTAACTACACAATTGAGAAAACGAGGCAATGTCTCAAACAAAACTAGTTACAAGCCATTTGATAAAGTCTGAAATTTTGTTTTATGAGATTTTTAATTTATGTAGAAACGATTCATCTTTTCATCTTCGTTATCCTCATCTATGACATCATCACTGTCTTCTTCATCAGTTTGTTGGGTTTTTTTTTGTATAATTTATTCAGACCATCATTTTTTTCATCTGAGCACATGCTGATTATATTTTCTCTACTAAAGAAAGAAAAGAGTAATGAGAAGAAGTAACGATAGTAAAAACAAAGGATATGCAGATTAGATATATTGTAAGCCTACTAGATGAACTGTTTTTGTTTCTTTTATATTTGATGAGCATGAAGAAAGAGAGAGACGGAACAAATATAAATTGTTTCAGATTTAAAATCTTTCACTCACAATCATTATGAAACATGAATCTTCATCTAACACTTACCGTTGTACTCAATCCACCTGACCTGATTTATATCTTAGAGAACAAGCTTGTTTGAAAGAACCATTACTCTGTTTTGTTTAGAAAACTGAGTACCACAAGGTAAAAAGAGTTCTGTTTCTATATTTTTTTGTTTTAAAAAACTCAATTGTTGATAAATCTATTTTATGTAACACATTTATATAACGCTAATAATAATATTTTTTGTATAGATAAAGTTTCAAATATTTTAAAGATTCATCTGTTTATAAATTTTAAAATATTAAGTAATTAGATATCAATACCTCAAATACAAATAATCATAATATTAACTATTTCGAATTTTTATTTTTAATTATTAAAATATATTATTTCTAATTAACTTTGATCAAAAAGTATTTTTACATATATCAAAAGTGTAGTTTTCAAAAAAAAAAAACAGTGTATTTCACTAATTTAAATATTTAAATAGTGTATTTTTCCAATTATCCCTTTATATAATCATACATTCTGTCAAAATTAATTATACTTAAAAAAAAAAGAACTCAAGGTTTTGCATCTTTAAGCACATTCGAGTTAATATCACTAAAATGGTTTACTTGTTAGACTGAAAACAAAAAAGTTACATGCATGAACAAACATACAAATAGGTAATATACAGATATAGAAGACAATCTCACCATAAAATGTAGATTTTTTTTTGTTTAAAGTTATCGTTTGTATCCAAGTGTCTGTAATTACGTGTGGAATATAGATTCTCGGATTAAAATACCATAAACTGTAGATTTTATAGACATAAAATATAGAACATTTCACTTTTTTCTTTCTGTAGAAAGTTGGTAAAGCTTATCAATAGTTTGAATTTTCCTATTGCCATTTGGAGAAATAAACTTTCAGCCAAATTCCAGAATTTAACCGTGATCATATTTTACCGCGCTTACGTTACAGTAAAGGGAAATTAGCCGTTGATGTGAAATGCTTGAAACAGAGAATTAAAAACCGAACAATCAAAACTCAGAATTTTCTCGAAAAAATTTAAGAAAATTTAAGCGCAGAGAAACTGTCATAATTTGTTAATGACCTCCAAGGTATTTTCTCTGCTTGTCAAACAAACATTTTCAGCCGCCCATAACCTGCCGGCGTCTCTTTTCACTTTCCTAAATATTGTTTTTTTATCCGCACAAATTATTCAGCTAAAGAATCATTCTCTGTTATTACAAGGCAGAACAAAAACTAGTTTCTTACAATGCAAGTCTTCTTCTTCTCCTTATCTTTGATTTTCTGTTTTTGTTCTCATCTTCTCTGAGATTCTTGAAGGCGACAAGAAAGCTTTGCTTGATTTCTTATCAAACTTCATCTATCTCTTCACCGCTGGAAGTCTAGAACCAGAGCTCTCCGGTTTTTCATTGTTAGACCAAATTTAATCAAAATCTAATGTCTTATTAGTTTGGTAAAGTATGAATGAGAAATAGAATATATTAGATTTAAATTTGGATTTAAATTTGTTAGTTAAAGTAAACTTGAGAGTATATCGTAGAATATAAGTTCGTCGATTCTATAATCAGGTGCTGCAATAATCGTTTGAAATGGTTGTATTCTACAATTTGTTATCTCATAAATCGTCACATTGCGGAAGATATTTCATATTTCGAATTAAAGAAAAAATCATACTCATTTCCATTTCTTGTATCATTTCCTTAATCGTATTTTCAAAACGTTTTTATCTGAAATTTTATCTATTTATTTTTGCAATATTTGTCTCAATATTTTACGCTTATCATCTTTAGACCGGAGTCACCTGCACCGAAAACCGAGATCGAGTCGTATCCCTTTAGAGCATGTTCAATGCGAAAGCTTAAAAGGAGTGCTTAAGTGATGTTTTAAAAAAAATAAATCTAAATATTCAATTACTCTAAGCATCGAAGCTCAAACAAGCGTCTTAAGCATCAATGCTTACCAGTCACGTGTCAAAATTGATAGGCTTCAAGTGTGAATGCAAAAAAAAAAAAAAAATTCTGTGTTGGATAAAATTTTATTCATTTCTTCTTTATCGAAAAAACCTGACCTTCGATTTCTCCGTCTCCGTCTCGATCGTTTGGATTCTAGGTTTTCTGGGAATCTTGCTTCTCGCGATTGCTTTCTAAGGCTCTGTTTTCCCAAACTATGTTCAGATGTTTAGGCGTGATGAGGATAATCACCGTGAAACGGTGTCGTTTGTGTTTCCTGTGTACCACAAAATGAGAGCTGAGATCGAGAGATCCCTGACCAGAATTTAGCGGAAGTTTTGGATGTTGACGAGAAAGAGAATGGAATCTTTGTGGAATCAATTGAACAAGAGCTGGTAAACCCTGTAAAAGTTAACGTTGTTTTTATTGTAAGCGCTGATTCTTTGGACTCCTCCATTGGAGCTTACAAAATCAGAATTGCTTAACAAAAATTTTTAACTTCAAACTAATAATTATATAATACTTAAGCACTCCTACCATTGAACATGGTCTTAAGGTTGCTTGTTATTTGGATTCAACAGTTTGATTCCACTTTCTCCGGAGAATTGGAAATTTTTTTTGTTTTAAAAAATTGTGTAATGTATTGATAGTCCATCTGCTTTTGTCAAATGCCTTTTGTTGTTATTTATTTTACATTGGTTTGCTTTGGTGAGGTATAATAAATACTTTTCATAGATACATTTTATTCTGATAATTAAGACATTACTTTCATGAGTTTTTCTACTAATAATACAAATAATAAATTCTTGAGACATTCAGAATGGATATTTTTTTAAGCATTTTGTTGTAAAAATTTTGCAACTATCGTCCTGAATTTTTCAAATTCAACTATAGTTTTGTATTTTTTTTTGTATCAATAGTATTAACTAAAATAAAACAATCTGAGATCCAAACGGATAGTACATGTAAAATCATTAAAGTGAAACCTACTATGGGTTAAACAATCAAGTTTAAAATTTTTAATGCATGAATATAAGTAAAATAAAAGGAACCATATTTGATCCTTGCGAACTCATCTATGTGTTGAAACAGGGTACCAATCAATAAGCAAATGCATTATGTGAAGGTCGTGAAGAAGACCTTCAACTTACCCATTTTAGTAAAAACAAAAACTCCAATTATGTATTAGACATATAAATTCATAACTTCACAAGATCAGTCAAAGTTATTTTTAGATTTTGGCCAAATCATTAACACTCTCATTGAAAAACGGGTAAATCGATGATTTTGACTTTTCCCCAATATTATTTTTAGATACTTTTTGCTATATAAAAACAGAATGAAAGATATCTCATATTTTAAAGAAATCCGCAATATTGTTATTTTGTTAGAAAAACAAAAACCTCAAACAAGAAAATGGCATCTAAAAAAATCACCTTCGTCTTGGTTCTTTGCCTATGCATTCTCTTATCGTCAGGTGTCCATTTCTGTGACATATATTTTATCGTTCCTCAGATTTATCTATTTTATTTGGAAATTTTTATACATCACAAAAGTTAATGTGTCTTTTTGGTCATAAAGTTAATGTGTTCGTCCGATATATAAAAATATAGTTTCTTGTTTTCTTGGTGTCGTAAAAAATAACTCCTAAATTGTGTTCTTAAATAAAAAAATTGGATAGGGTTTGGAGAAGCAGCATTAAATCCAACAGGAAAACGATGTCCAGATCCAAATGGTAAAGACATAAAAAGTGAGTGTTCCATCTACTGTAGCCAACAAGGATTTATGGGTGGTTCTTGTCAAGGCCACAAAGGTAACTATATGTGCAAGTGTTATGAAGGATAGATGATATAATATTTTTTTGCACCAAGACTATTGTATCAGACTTTTAAACTACTCATTTCTATTAATATTATTCTTGTTGTATTTTTTTGTTATTTTATCGTATTTTTGTTTGTTGGTTAGGTGAGGTATTATAAAAACCAGATTTACTTTCTTAGATATGTTTCTTTTATTCTTTTATATATGAGACATACTGTTGTAACAGATGCAAGAAGAAAACAGTAAACATAAAGATCACACTAACGTGGTTCACCAACGATGGGTTGGCTACATCCACGGACAAAAAGAAACTGATTTTACTACGGAGGCAGAAAGTTTCAGAATATACCTCATAAATTAGGTTAACATGTTTATTTATAGCATAAACCCTAGTTAACCCTAATCGCAATTGGGCTCGCTCACTTAGGCCCATGTAAGAACCTTCATGCAGAAATAGCGGCCCAAATGCACGCAGACTTCTATATTGCTCATGCAGGCTGTAGTCTTCCACATCAACTTACATAGCATGTAAATCTCGACATCAGCTTTAGGATGCAGAACGTTGCACTCAACTATTTGCTCAAACAGATTGTAAGCTTCAACATGCAGCGTGTAAACTTACACAAGCAACCTCAAGACGCAGCATGTAAGCTTCAACATGCTGCAAGTATCCTGCATAATTGATCACGCAGGCTGCATGCTGGATCCTGCAGCCTGTATGATTGATCGTGCAGCATGCACGCAACTGCACACATCAACCCAAATGCAGTCTGCACTCATCAACGCCAGGAAGCTTCTACGCTTCAGGATTCAAGGCATACCAACAGATCTCCACCTTGACTTGAATCCTCCAGAAAGCTTCTACGCATCAGGATTCAAGGCATATCAACAAATCTCCACCTTGACTTGAATCCTCCAGAAAGCTTCTACGTATAAGGATTCAAGGCATGCCTACAAATCTCCACCTTGACTTGAATCTTCCAGACAAATGTATCAGATGCACCACAATCGTTACCAGATATACCGGACATCTCCTTTGCCTCAGATTGTACGACATGTACCAGATGCACCATCATGGTGCCAGATATATTGGACTTCTCTAATGCCTCATAATGTATAACATGCACCATCACGGTGCCGATGTACCAGACGTTCATCATATCAGACATACCAAATGCACTCTCATAGAGCCTGATGTACTCAGAGACAAAGATGTTCCTACAGACCAGACCAGATGTCTTTTGGAAACAGACACTCCTTTAGCACCAGAATTTTGTTTGGAATCGGATGTCCTTTCGGACCAGACACCCTTCAATAGACTTAGATAGTCTCTACAGAACCAGACTTTCCTCACCACGCTCACATATATATGCCTGCGGAATCAGACGCCATACACCGGGCTCAGATGCTTCATGCATAATCAGACGCTTTTCACGGAGTTCAGATGCTTCATGCGAAATCAGCATAAACAGACGCAGATCAGATACTCCCTGCAGAACCAGCCGTCCTTCATAGAACTCAGATGTTTCATGCAAAACTCAGATGCTCTTGACCGAGCTCAGACTTCATGCGGAATCAAACGTTCTTTTCAGAACCAGATACTCCTTAACAGACTCAGAGACGCTCTGCAGAACAAGACTCCCTTCACTGGGCTCAGTTATATGCTTTCTGCAGAATCGGACACCCTTCACCGGGATCAAATACTCCTTGCAAAACTAGACGCCCTTCATAAAGCTCAGATGCTTCATGCAAAATCAGACGTCCTTCATGGAGATCAGACATTCCCTTCAGAACCAGATTATCGTCACAGAGCTCAGATGTTTCATGCGAAATCAGACACCTTTCACTAGGTTCAGATATTCATTGCGGACCCAGACACTCCTCACTGAGTTTAGATACTAATTCTGGACGCAGACACTCCTCACTGAGTTCAGATGCTTTATGCAGAATCAGATATTCTTCACTGAATCTAGATGCTTCATACAGAATCAAATGTTCTTCTTCGGAGATCACATACTCCCTGCAGAACCAGATGCTCTTCATAGAGCTCAGATCCTCAGACTACATGCAGAATCAGATGCCCTTCACTGGGCTCAGATGTTCACTGCAGAACCAGACGCTCGTTAGTGAGATCAGATGCTTTATGCAGAATCAGATGCTCTTCACCGAGCTCAGATGCTTCATACAGAATCAAATGTTCTTCTTTGGAGATCACATACTCCCTGCAGAACCAGATACTCTTCATAGAGCTCAGATACTCAGACTTCATGCAGAATCAGGCGCCCCTGACTGGGCTCAGATGTTCACTGCAGAACCAGACGCTCCTTAGTGAGATCAGATGCTTTATGCAGAATCAGATGGTCTTCACCGAGCTCAGATGCTTCATACAGAATCAAACGTTCTTCTTTGGAGATCATATACTTGCTGCAGAATCAGATGCTCTTCATAGAGCTCAGATACTTAGACTTCATGCAGAATCAGAAGCCCTTCTACTAACTCGGATGCTCATGAGAAACCAGACAGACACCCTTCACAGGCTCAGATGCTCGCAGAACCAGACGCCCTCTCAACGGGCTCAGATGCTCCTTGTGGAGCCAGAAGTCCCCTCAACGGGATGAGATGCTCCCTGTAGAGCCAAACGTTCTTCATCAGACTCAGATACTTCTCGCGGAGCCAGACGCCCTCCCAACGGGCTTAGATGCTTCTTGTGTAGCCAGACTCATTTTAAACAAACTCAGATGTTACTGCAGAGCCAGACGTCCCACACCAGGCTCAGATTCTCAATGCAAAGCCGGACGCCCTTCTACGGGCTCAGATGCTTCATGCGGAGCCAGACGCCCTTCACCAAACTCAAGTGCTACTTGCAGAACCAGACGCCCTCCCAAAAAGCACAGATACTCCCTGCAAAACCAGACGTCCTCGCAACGGGATCAGATACTTCTTGTGGAACCAAAATTTTTTCACCAGATTTAGATGCTTCCCACGGAGACAGACGCCCTTCCAACGGGCTCAGATGCTCCCTGCAAAGCTAGACGCGTTTTAAACAAACTCGGATGCTACTGCGGAGCCAGACACTTTTCACAAGGCTCAGATGCTCCCTACAAAGCCATACGTCCCCTCAACAGGATCAGATGCTTCCTGTGGAGCCAAACTTTCTTCACCAGACTCAGATGCTTCCCGTAAAGACAGACACTCTCCCAATGGGCTCAGATACTCCCTGCATTCGTTATAAACAAACTCAGATGCTACTGTGGAGCTAGACATTTTTTCACAAAGTTCAGATGCTCCTTGCAAAGCCAGACGTCCCCACAACGGGATCAGATGCTTCCTGTGAGCCAAACTTGCTTTACCAGACTCAGATGCTTCCCGTGGAGACAGACGCCCTCCCAATTGGCTCAGATGCTCCCTGCATAGCCAGACTCGTTTTAAACAAACTCAGATGCTACTGCGGAGCCAGACGTTCCACATTGGACTCAGATTCTCCATGCGGAGCCAGACGCTCCACACTAGACTCAGATTTTCCGTGCGGAACCAGACGCCTTTCTACGGGCTCAGATGTTTCATGTGGAGCCAGGCGCTCTTCACCGGGCTCAGATTCTCCATGCAGAGCCAGACACCCCACATTGGGCTCAGATTCTCCGTGCGGAGCCAGACGCCGTTCTTCAAGCTCATATGCTCCATGTGGAGCCAGACGCCCTTCACCGGGCTCAGATTTTCCATGCGGAGCCAGACACCCTTCTACGGGCTCAGATGCTCCATGCGGAGCCAGGCGCCCTTCACCGGGTTCAGATTCTCCATGCGGAGCCAGACGCCCTTCTACGGGCTTAGATGCTCCATGCAGAGCCAGACGTCCTTCTACGGACTCAAATGCTCCATGCGGAGCCAGACGCCCTTCACCGGGCTCAGATGCTCCTTGCAGATCCAGACGTCCTTTCAATGGGCTCAGATGCTCGATGTAGAGCCAGACGCCCTTCACTGGGCTCAGATGCTCCTTGCTGAGCCAGACGCCCTTCACAGGCTTTCAACAGCACCACCCACAAGCCTTGTTGCTTTAGCAACACTTGCACCGTGATCTGCCAGAGACTGAAACTGTTCCTTCCCGTGAACTTGTTGATACTCACGTTTAACCCAGACATCTTCTTGCCAGACGCGAAAACTCCTAGAACCTAGAGCTCTGATACCAGTTTGTTGTAACGGATGCAAGAAGAAAACAGTAAACGTAAAGATCACACACAGATTTAACGTGGTTCACCAACGATGGGTTGGCTACATCCACGGACAAAAGGAGACTGATTTTATTACGGAGACAGACAGTTTCAGAATATACCTCATAAATTAGGTTAACATGTTTATTTATAGCATAAACCTTAGTTAACCCTAATCGCAATTGGGCTCGCTCACTTAGGCCCATGTAAGAACCTTCATGCAGAAATAGCGGCCCAAATGCACGCAGACTTCTACATTGCTCATGCAGGCTGTAGTCTTCCACATCAACTTACATAGCATGTAGATCTCGACATCAGCTTTAGGATGCAGAACGTTGCACTCAACTATTTGCTCAAACAGATTGTAAGCTTCAACATGCAGCGTGTAAACTTACACAAGCAACCTCAAGACGCAGCATGTAAGCTTCAACATGCTGCAAGTATCCTGCATAATTGATCACGCAGGCTGCATGCTGGATCCTGCAGCCTGTATGATTGATCGTGCAGCCTGCACGCAACTGCACACATCAACCCAAATGTAGTCTGCACTCATCAACGCCAGGAAGCTTCTACGCTTCAGGATTCAAGGCATACCAACAGATCTCCACCTTGACTTGAATCCTCCAGAAAGCTTCTACACATTAGGATTCAAGGCATATCAACACATACATATCATAATTTCGCTACTAATAACACAAAATAATATGGAAAAACTATTGTGTTGTGACAAAAAAAATTATTGGAACAAAAAGCAATAGTAAAAGTCAAAGGAAAAAAACACTTCAAGGGTGATAAGTGATCAACGAACACAAAAAGCAAAATCACAGATACAAATAAAGGGTCATCACGACAGTTAAACAACCTTGTTTGTTAACCAAACTCAGTGAGAAATTTGGTCATTCATCGAGAACTTTTTCATGTACCGTATATTCTTTTAGTTACTCATCATAAATGACAAGATATTTGTTAATCATGTTAAACCGTTGATTTTTATTTCTATAATAGGCTAGGGAGATCGTAGATGGAAAATTGCGCGACCATTGAAAATCGTCAAAGGCTAATATCAAGTTGATATACAATTATTAAAATTAAACTTTGACATCATAGTTGCGACCAAAAAACAAAAACGACAGCGTTTGAATCATTGAGATCATCGTCTACCAAATTTATAAGTTTGCAGTTTGTCCCTTGGCTCCATCGACGAGTCCGTCACTTTCACTGTATAAAATATCTCTCTCTCTCACTCATCATTCACAGCCCATTTCTCTCCCTCTCTATCTCCTCCAAAATCCTACGCTCTCTGCAATGGAGTCTGCCGCTCTATCCCGAATCGGGCTCGCCGGTCTCGCCGTAATGGGCCAGAACCTTGCCTTGAACATCGCCGAGAAAGGTTTCCCAATCTCAGTCTACAATCGAACCACATCGAAGGTCGACGAAACCCTAGATCGAGCCTCCGTCGAAGGAAACCTACCAGTTTCCGGCCAATACTCTCCGCGCGATTTCGTCCTCTCGATCCAACGACCGAGATCCCTTATCATCCTCGTCAAAGCCGGAGCTCCCGTTGACCATACAATCGCCGCCTTCTCCGAGTACATGGAGCCCGGAGATTGCATCATCGACGGTGGAAACGAATGGTATCTGAACACAGAGCGACGGATCTCTGAGGCGGAGCAGAAAGGACTGCTCTATATAGGCATGGGAGTCTCCGGCGGCGAAGAAGGAGCTCGTAACGGTCCGTCGCTTATGCCCGGCGGATCGTTTCAGGCGTATGACAACATCAAAGATATCTTGGAGAAAGTCGCGGCTCAGGTAGAAGATGGACCTTGCGTAACTTACATCGGAGAAGGCGGATCTGGAAATTTTGTGAAGATGGTTCATAATGGGATTGAGTATGGAGATATGCAATTGATCTCTGAAGCTTACGATGTGTTGAAGAACGTTGGTGGATTGAGCAACGAGGAGCTTGCGGAGATCTTCACGGAGTGGAATCGAGGTGAGCTTGAGAGTTTCTTGGTTGAGATTACTTCGGATATATTTAGGGTCAAGGATGAGTTTGGTGATGGAGAGCTAGTGGATAAGATTTTGGATAAAACCGGCATGAAAGGTACCGGAAAATGGACTGTTCAGCAGGCGGCGGAGCTCTCTGTGGCTGCTCCGACGATTGCTGCCTCGTTGGATTGTCGGTACTTGAGCGGATTGAAAGATGAGAGGGAGAATGCTGCGAAAGTGTTGAGAGAAGCTGGATTGAAGGAAGAGATTGGTTCTGCATCGAGCGGTATCGATAAGAAGAGATTGGTTGATGATGTTAGGCAAGCTCTCTACGCTTCGAAAATCTGTAGTTATGCTCAAGGGATGAATCTGCTTAGAGCTAAGAGCTCAGAGAAAGGCTGGAACTTGAACTTCGGTGAGCTGGCTCGGATTTGGAAAGGAGGCTGCATCATAAGAGCGGTTTTCTTGGATAGGATCAAGAAAGCATACCAGAGAAACCCGGATTTGGCAAGTCTTGTGGTTGATCCTGACTTTGCTAAAGAGATGGTTCAGAGACAAGCTGCTTGGAGAAGAGTGGTGGGTTTGGCTGTCTCTGCAGGGATAAGCACGCCTGGAATGTGCGCGAGTCTTGCATATTTCGATACTTACAGGCGCGCTAGATTGCCGGCGAATCTGGTTCAGGCGCAGAGAGATCTCTTTGGAGCTCATACTTATGAGAGGATCGATCGTCCTGGTGCGTATCACACTGAATGGTCTAAGCTTGCCAAGAAGAGCACTTGAGGTTTTTGCTTTCCTAAAAATCCTCTCTTTGTCTTTGCTATTTTTAGCAATAGGGAATTGGATTTGAACCACATTGTTTCAAGAGTCTTTCAGATTTCAAAATAAGAAAATGCAGTACCTTGAATTTTGCTTTAGTTTTCTGACATTGTGCCGTTACTGATACTTCTTAGTACTACAGTCTTTGCCTATCTGATCACCGACTAATCAACGCTCTAATCATCACTGTTTCGATTAGTTAAACCTAGATGATCTGTTTATTAAACAAGGATTGGAAAAACTTCAACCAAATCCATTGAGGCAAATAATCGAACATGGGATCTGCATTGACCGATAATTAAGTCAAAACCTGGGAGATTGCTTAAGAGCTAGCTTGAGAGGAAGCCCAACGTAAAATGACGCAATTGACGGATAAATCGAGACCTTGCCCGTAGAATCGAGCTGCTTTTGGTACGTCTTTGTGAAGCTGGAAAGCACTTTTAATCCTCTTCTTTCATTGCATTGACAATGTCATCTTGGGCTTGTAGAACTTTGATCCTCGATGCGTTCAGTTGCATTGAGTAATCACTTTTATACACACATAACAAATACAAACACACAATATATTCATTAACAAGTGGGCATAAATCAAAGACAAGATGACATTGATAACTTGAATTTCACCCTGATAACGTTTTACCGCGCTTACGTTACAGTAAAGGGAAATTAGCCGTTGGTGTGGAATGCTTGAAACAGAGAATTAAAAACCGAACAATCAAAACTCAGAATTTTTTCTGGAGAAAATTAAGTGCAGAGAAACGGTCATAATTTGTTAATGACTTGCAAGGTTTTTTTCTCTGCTTATAAAACAAACATTTTTAGCCGGCTATAGCCTACTGGCGTATCTTTTAACTCTCCAAAATATTGTTTTTTTTATCTGCACAAAATTCTTCAGCTAAAGAAACATTCTCTGTTATTACAAGGCAGAAACAAAAACTAGTTTCTTACAATGCAAATCTTCTTCTTCTCCTTATCTTTGATTCTCTGTTTTGTCCTCATCTTCTCTGAGACTCTTGAAGACGACAAGAAAGCTTTGCTTGATTTCTTGTCGAACTTCAATCTATCTCTTCACCGTTGGAACCAGAGCTCTCCGGTTTGTCATCTCTGGACCGGAGTTACCTGCAGCGAAAACCGAGATCGAATCGTATCCCTTAGATTGCCTGGGGTTGGATTCAACGGTTCGATTCCACTTTTCACCATCAGTCGTCTCTCGGCTCTGAAGATTCTAAGCCTTCGAAAGAACCAATTCACCGGAGAGTTCCCTTGTGATTTCATCAATCTCAAGAACCTGACTCATCTCTATCTTCAACATAACCGCTTCTCGGGTCCATTACCAGCGATCCTCTCGGAGTTGAAGAGTCTCAAGGTTCTTGATCTTTCTAACAATGGATTCAACGGAAGCATCCCAAACTCTCTTTCAGGTTTGACCAGCCTTAGAGTCTTGAATCTTGCAAACAATTCATTCTCAGGGGAAATTCCTGATCTTGATCTGCCAAGCCTGAGACAAATCAACTTGTCTAACAATCGGCTCATCGGTACAATACCGAAATCTCTTCAAAGATTCCAAAGTTCAGCCTTTTCTGGTAACAACATAACTCAAGAGAAGGAGAAACAACACAAGACTCCTTTCGGGTTAAGCCAGCTTGCTTTCTTGCTGATTCTAGCTGCAGCTTGCATTTTGGGTGTTTCCGGGCTTTCCTGTATGATGATCACTTGTTTCGGGAAGACAAGAATCTCCGGGAAGTTAAGAAAGAGAGACTCTTCATCTTCTCCTCCGGGAAACTGGACATCAAGAGACGATCACACTGAAGAAGGCGGGAAGATCATCTTCTTCGGAGGAAGAAACCATTCGTTTGATTTAGATGATTTGCTAAGCTCATCTGCAGAAGTTTTGGGGAAGGGTGCTTTTGGCACAACCTATAAGGTAACAATGGAAGACATGAGCACGGTTGTAGTGAAGCGATTGAAGGAAGTCGTCGTGGGAAGACGAGAGTTTGAGCAACAAATGGAGATCATTGGCATGATCAGACATGACAACGTAGCTGACCTAAAGGCTTACTACTATTCCAAGGACGATAAGCTCGCTGTTTATAGCTATTACAGTCAAGGAAGCCTCTTCGAGATGCTTCACGGTTAGTTACTACTCTTCACTTTATGATGATAAATCAAAAGCAAAACGTGTTCAGTTTTGTGTTCTTATGCAGGAAACAGAGGAATGTATGATCGAGTACCTTTAGATTGGGACGCTAGGTTGAGAATAGCAACAGGAGCAGCGAGAGGGCTGGCTAAAATCCATGAAGGTAACAACGGGAGATTCATCCACGGGAACATCAAATCCTCAAACATCTTCTTAGACTCACAAAGCTATGGCTGCATCGGCGATCTTGGCTTAACAACCATCATGAGGTCTCTTCCTCAAAACACTTGTCTTACTTCGGGTTACCACGCACCTGAAATAACAGACACAAGAAGAAGCTCGCAGTTTTCAGATGTATACAGCTTCGGTGTGGTTTTACTCGAGCTGCTTACAGGGAAATCTCCGGCGAGTCCAGCTCCGGGGGTTTCAGAGACGACGCCACAGGGAGAAAACATGGATTTGGCTAGCTGGATAAGGTCTGTGGTGGTAAAAGAGTGGACAGGGGAAGTTTTCGATATGGAGATTTTGAGCCAATCGGGTGGTGTGGAGGAAGAAATGGTTGAGATGTTGCAGATAGGATTGGCTTGTGTTGCTCTGAAGCAACAAGAACGACCTCATATAGCTCAAGTTGTGAAAATGATTGAAGATATTCGATCGATTGATGCAGAGTGAGAAAAACACAAAGTAGCATTCATCTAAGGCCTTGCAATCTTCTTCTTTCTTCTTCTTAGATCATTTGTTTATTCAATTTGAAAGTGAATTTCGTTTTATTGATACATTGTTCCAGAGCAGATTTGCAAAGAAGAAAACTTTGAATTGTAGATTCAGAAACAAACAACAAAAAAGTCCATTTCAGATATATTATAAAAAAACAGAACAAATTTGAGGAAGTAAAGCACTAAAAAATTACGAAGATTCGATTGATATTGGAAGGATTAAACGGGACTTAGGAGCTGAAAAAGATCTGGTTTTGGATCGGAATTCATGCCGATGATGATGATCAGTGGGATGAATCCATAGTGAGTCGCGACCTTTGCTTTCTTCAGAGACCAGTTGGTCCAATCTTTAAAGAGCTGGAACTTGGACGACGAGGAGGAGGAAGAAGATGATCCCTTTGAACCTTTTCCTTTGCCTTTGAACTTCTGCGAACCCTTAGCCGCCATTGATTCTGATCTCGGAGCTCTCTCCGTATCTGTGTCAGTACTTTGGGAAGCGGAGATTTTACTCGAAGCTAAAACCCTAAGGTTTTAAGACCCCATTTTAGAGCCTTTATGCAATACTCTGTCTTGGCCGGAAGGTTTTAACATGAAAAATGATAAAATCTCTCATTTTCTTTTTAATAAAAAAATACAATTATTCTATTCACTCGCTCGCTGGAAAATCGCTGGCATTCGTAAAGCATAAATCATCCTCCTTTATTTTGGTATCAAAGTCTCTCTCTTTCTCTATCTCTCTCTCTCTCTCTCTCTCACCATCTGCAAGGAGTGAATCGTGAACCGAGCGAGTTTGGAGGGTCTGTCTCTGGTAAAAAGCTCACTCCTTTGTTTGCAATCCAACCCTTAATTGTTTGATTGTTTCGGATTTCTCTTGACGTTGCTGAAATCGATCTAGGTTTTTGGTTTTTTTTTTTATTGGATCTAGGAATTTGTTCAGAGCGAGAAATGGCTTCGAAACGGATCTTGAAAGAGCTCAAGGATCTCCAGAAGGATCCTCCAACCTCCTGCAGTGCTGGTTAGACTTTGCTCTTCTTTTCGTGTCTGATCCATTTTGAGCTTTGTTGTAGATCTTATAATCTCTTTTTTTTTTTAAGAAGAAGAAAAACATGACATCTTTTTATTCTAAATCGCATAATATAGTTATCTATAGATCTTGAAGAGGTAATTGCAGCTACGTAATGATTATACTCTAGAAGATACCAATTGAAAGTTGAGATTTTTCTTAGAACATAAACAAACTGATGGGTGTACTGGTCCTAGATTGGGAATTGCAGCTTTCTAATGACCATAGTCAACAAAACTTAAGAATTTTTCTACCAACCCTGGATACCAAATTGCAGCTCTTAACAATAAGATAACAATTAAAAGTTGAGATTTTTCTTATAACTAACTTCTGTTACTGATCTTAGATTCGTCGTTGCAGCTCATAGTGTAGGAAAGAGCACTTGATCATAGTCTAGGAGATAGCAATTGAAAGTTGAGATTTTTCTTGAATCAAGCTTTTGGTGCTTACCATAGATTGCATCCTGCCTTGTTTATCGAAGTATCCTTAACGGATTTTACAAACTTGCTCCTCGGAGTGAACTCTGGATCTTGTTTGCTATTTATTGTCACACCATTTTAGATCAGGAAAAAAGAAAACTATTTCTTGTTCACCATCTTTTAGTAAAAAGCTCTTTAGTCTTTGTTTGTTATCTATTGCATTCGGTGTTATACGTATAATGTAAAAGTGTATAATGAATTGGTACTGTTGGTCTCAATAGAGTCAGAGGATTATTGTAGGATAATTTCAAACTGCTCATGCATTCTTCTGCTAGAGAAGTCTCAGGACATTGCCATCGTGCACGAGTATCTATGTTTTGTCGTGTGAATTTCAGTTAATGCTATTGATCAGGTGGTTTAAAAGACTAAATTTTTTTATTTTGTCCTCTATGAACAATTGTGAAATCTTAAAGGCCCAGTTGCTGAAGACATGTTTCATTGGCAAGCTACAATAATGGGTCCAGCTGATAGTCCTTACTCAGGCGGAGTCTTCCTCGTCACCATTCACTTCCCTCCGGATTATCCTTTCAAACCACCAAAGGTTAAAATCATTTTTATCAGATTGAACAAATCATTAAATGGTTTCTATTGGAACTCACTTGCCCTTACCCTTTTTCTTCTTGCAGGTTGCATTTAGGACAAAAGTGTTTCACCCTAATGTCAACAGCAATGGAAGCATTTGCCTCGACATCTTGAAAGAACAGTGGAGTCCTGCACTTACCATATCCAAGGTGAAGAAGAAAACTCTCTTTTTTACCGTTAGCAATGGCGATAATGAGTTTTCAACTCTGATTGTTAATCCAATCTATTGTGACTTTCTAGGTTTTGCTTTCGATATGCTCATTGTTGACGGATCCAAACCCAGATGATCCTTTGGTTCCAGAGATTGCTCACATGTATAAAACCGATAGAGCTAAGTATGAGTCTACTGCAAGAAGCTGGACTCAGAAATATGCGATGGGATAAAGTTTATGGCTTTTGATCCATCAAGACTCGGTTTTAAGAGGGAGAGAGTGAGAGAGTAAGGACTTCTTCACATAGGATCTTCCATGAAATAAGTTAGATTCCTATGTTTTATCTCTTTGTTTGAAAGCTCTTGAATGTTTTTGATGTCACTTGTTAAACAAATAACATTCCTTCTCCTCTCTGTTCCTTTGTTTTTTTTTTTTTTTTTTTGGCAATTACAAAGACATATTTAAAAAAAATGTAAAATTTTTAGGAAATTATCTCAAATGACTTAGAAAAGTCATTTTATTACTCAAGCTACATACTCGTAATGTGTTTTACTAAAACAACGGGATCCCTAAACCCTAAGAAAAATATTTGGATAAATTTAGAAACCCTTAAGATTTTTTGGATTTTTTTTTTGGGTTCTACTTGAATGAAGATTTATGATTTATCCTAGTCATAATCTAGCATTTGTCTAAATTTTAAACATTATTGGAAAAGTAATGTTGCATAGCCATGTCTATATTTACATAATAGCTAATTACGTTCATGTGGTTATACAAGGAAAACGCGGTCATTACGCAATACCATACAATGAAAATCTTCAACTATCCAATAAATACCAAAACAAATTCTCAAATTTTTTTTCTTATAAAACAACACGAATCCAAACAATTTGCTAAAAGATAAGATCATTGATTTTAAAGTTTTAAACAAAACAACCATACATGAAGATCGTTGCATTGTTGCTAATCGCATTCGTCATACTCTTGGCAACATTTCCTCCACCGACAAAAGCAATCGCTACCGGCGGCAGTAACTCAAAGAGTAGTAATGGAGGATCATGTTTAACAAATCCGCTTCTGGTTTGCTTTGACGGTATTGCTAAGAACATGGAGTTGCCTGTTGAATCTTGTCGACGACTAAAACAGAATCAATCATGTCTCTGTGATATAATTAAAAAAACTATCCTCGATAGCAATGTCCTTAGCTCTAGTCTCAAGTCTTGTGGTATTCCTGACCTCAAATGTTGAAAACAATAACAAGTATGATATGTGAACTCGGAATCGTCTGGTTCCAGACACCATACCGAAGGTACTACTCTATCTTACTTTCAAGTAATTAATTAATGCGAAGTGGTGTTGTAGATTTTAGTGGTTAAAAACATTTTCTCCACCATTCTCTTTTCCCTTGCTTGTAAGAATCAATAAATTCCATTTGTATTTGATTTATGTCAACCAAATAATAAAAGTGTACTGTATAACTACTATTGAAAGCTTCGTTTAGTGGCGGAAGCTCTTGTTATATCAACCTTGCTTATTCAAATGTTGTTTTTTTTTTTCTGAGCTAGTAGTGGAGTCAGATTCTCAACAACTAATTCAGGCCATTTCATTGGAGTCTCCCTTAAGCGAACTTCTGGAATTCTTGCGGATATGGTCTCAATTTCTCTTCTTTTTAAGTCTATCTTCTTTTGTTACATTTTTCATAAAGCCATTGTCTTTGCTAGTTCAAAACTCTGTTTCTAGTTGAAGATGAATCAAACAAGTATTAGCACCAAAAATAAAATAAAAAATTCTACTCTTGAAATTTTGTTTTCTTGTTAGTTATTACGTTGCTTTGATTGAGACTTCAACCCCCAACCCACATATATAATACAGCAAACATTTTATGAAATAACATACTGGTTGGTTTAATTGTCCTGGATTTATATGAAAAAACTTTTCAAAAGATTAATCAATATTTAAGTTTTGAAAAAAGCAAAATTAATTTTTTTAGGTTGGAAATAAATAGAGCAAAGAGACTTAAAGAAAAAACAGAAGTGGGATTTCAAAGTCTGATTGGTACAAGTACAACTTCTTCCATTAACCTATCCCAAATCTCTTGGTGATTTTCATTCACGTAAATTTGGTTTCTCTTTCTCTTTTTAATTTTCTCCCTTCTCGTTTTCCACTACTCTTGTTAAGTTATTTTTTTTAATGTTCCTTTACTGGAAGAAGAAATCTAAAATTATTATCATTTTTAAATCTCAGTATCTTATACTCGCACGTTTCCTAAAGTGTACAGAGAAAATCTCGTTTGAAAAAAAAACAGCATGCTTCATCTTTAAATTTATTTTCTCGCCTTTTCTTGGAAGTGTGCTCTGCTTTTTCTACAAAAGAAAAAAAAATCCTTTAATGCAATCTTTCCCGAAAATAATAAATACCTTATCAGTCACTAATCTTGAATCGATCTATATGAGAAAGAGAGAAAATTCCACTCCTTAAAAGCAAAACGATGGAGAAAGGTTTGATTTCTGAGACAGATCATGAGCATCCAAGAATCATCAAACATACTTATTCTTTAAAACACCTCGCAGAAACTCCAAGAATCTTACGGATCTCTGTCACTGATCCATACGCCACCGATTCATCATCCAGCGACGAAGAAGAGAACCACAACAGGACGAGGAAACGACGACGTATCAAGAGATACGTCCGGGAAATAACATTCGAAACGCCTTTGTATTCCTCTAAACACCAAAATGTTTCAAAGAAAAGAGATTCGACGGAGAAGAAGAAATTCCGAGGAGTTCGACAACGGCCATGGGGTAAATGGGCGGCTGAGATTCGCGATCCAATCCGCGGTGTACGACGCTGGCTTGGAACGTTTAACACGGCGGAGGAAGCTGCCAGAGTTTACGATAACGCCGCCGTACAGATACACGGACTAGCCGCTGTTACTAATTTTGCTGCCGCTTCGATTCCACCGGAGACACCGTGCGCCGCGGCCTGCATTCAATCTCCAAGCACAGTTCTCCATTCGTCGACTTCCTTGGATTCATTATCAAATTCACCGACCGGACTAGAAAATCGTTTTCCCGCTGCGCCAGAGAAGATTTTTCCGCCAAATGACTCTGTTTTCCTAGGTGATGATTTCAATTTGTCCGAGATTTTCGTTGAAGACTGTTTCTCTACTGGCTTTAGTTCAACATTCGGGTTCTCACATCGGCACGTGGAGGATCGTTTTAATGATATCAGTGATTTGTTTGGCTCGGATCCTTTTCAAGATTTTGACCATTTCTTCGGATCGGATTTTACTTAATATACAAAAAAAAAAAAATCCTCTACTCATCTGTATCTGTATGCATGTGGAAACTGGCGAAATATGTTTTGTTTCTATTTGAGATTTTAAAATTTTTGTCCCTTTATTCTGTAATTGTTTTGGTTGAGAATAATGTTTACAAAAAAATTTGTGATCATAGCTACCAGCTGATAAGTAGTACTGTAATAGCCACAGTGAACCAAACCATTAAACAAATTTGTGCTGGAATGATAAGAATGAAAGGATATTCGAAAAAACGGGAAGTAATAAAAAGCTTTCTACTGATCTTCTTGTTAATCTTTACAATACAACATAAATGTATTTTACATTTGCATATTTCTAAATTAAACACGAAGAGGTCGAAGAAACAGTAGCTTGTTATATGCAGTAATGCAATTAAAACCACTTTTGTTGAATGGTGATATTTGAACTAATGTGTGATGGGATATATGTTTTTTTCTGGGACAAAATATGGCATATGTGTTATACATATATAGACAAAATATAGGCCCTTTAACAAAAAAAAAAAAGAAACACCAAAGATTTTATACTAAGGAAAAAAGCAATAACTATACCTAAAAAATACAAAACATCTAAATAATTGAAAAAAATTATAGGTAGTCTAATTATTTTATAAATTAAGGAATAAGCAACAACTACACACTTAAAAAATATAACACAGCTAAATAATTGAATAAAGTTATTGAATGGCAAGTAGCAACAGCAGAGGTCGTATTTTAACCAAAAAAACAAAAGTTCGTCGACAGATTGTTTGTAGGCCTTGTGCATTTTCTAGAAATCGAATGGGTCCTAAATTTTACACATGATAATTTATTTATTTGCATATCTTTCTTTATTTTTGTGTATAGTATATCTAATTATCATAACAAAAACCAAACCTTTATCAATTTATCTATTTGCCTATCTTTATTTCTTTTTGTATTTAGTTAATCTAATAATCATAACACAAACCAATTTATCCATAGAACTTTCTTTCACTAATTATTGTCCATAGACCTAATTAAATGACCACGCCTCGATATACTGTCCATTTCCCGGTCATCAACAACCAAAAGAACGATGCATATCTAAAATTTTGCTTCAAAATCAATGTGTTTTATCTATAAAAACAGAACTACTAATTGATAATAACTAAAAAGAGAAGTTTAATCAAAATGCTCATTGGCGATGAGCTTAATGCACAGATAGATCAATCGTATTATATAATAAAATACATGTTATAGTAAGGATATTTTGTATATTATATTACTAAATTTTTGGCCTATTGGAGAGAGACAAGAGCCAAACAAAACTTGTTTTGTCGAGATGTGCATGAGTCCTTTAAAAAAAAAACAAAAAACAATGTGTGCATGAGTCCAAAAATAGTTTATTTACTCAAAAAGGTCATTCCTCTCGAATTCTAAAAGTACACCGTACATGTGGCATACTGGGAACCATCCGAACAGTCCACGTCAGTTACAAACCAACTTCCCGCGTTTCAAGTCGAAACCAACGGCCAGATCACGCTGGTACCACTCCTTTTCCGGAAGATCTGACCGTTGATTGTGGATAAGAGCATAGAATATCTGTGGATCTTGGTCGTCAAACTGGGGCCCGTTAACGTAACCTAGTAAGGCCCACACATAACGCTCCATCCATATTTGACCATTAATTATCGACAAGATATTGTATTTGACTTGTTGGACTTTCTGAAATCATAGACTTTCCAATCATTGAGTCTGTGCCCCTTTTATTTGGTTTAATTTCCTTTAAAAGACACATTAGTGGGCCTTCTAATTTCAGCCCAAATATAATTAGTTTCTGCTCGTTTTTACGTTCTACGTTCCGTAATTACATTATTTTGAAACCTTGTGAATATTTGGGCCTTTTTCGGCTTATTTATCATTTTTTTACGCTCCGTAATATTTTTGTGGGTTCCTTGGCAATTTACAGAGTATGTGTGAGAGTGGCAGTCTTCCTCCATGACCACTTCGCCGAGAAATCCTTTATGCAACTGTAATTACTTTCATTTCTGAATATCCAAGCTTCCGTGCGACAACCAGGAAGATAATCTCCATTTTCTCAGGTATGCAGACATCTTAGATGATATACTTTCTTTTAGGGGTTTTTATTTTTATTTTTAGGGTTTTGTTTCTTTGCTTGATTGAACTGCTTCTGTTGCTGATATTCCTTGTTTTTTAGAGATAGAAAATGCATCTGCTGTTTTAAAAATGAAAAATAAATCCAGTTCGTTAATTATATTCTTGCTGGTTCTTGGTAGAAGATACTCAGTATATGAACCATTTGTCAAATTTTTTGTTCTCACTTTAATTCTTGTTAACTCTGTAACACACCTGCAGCTAGCACCTAGAATACTCGGGATGTAAAGTGAAGAACAAAAATACATGGTACAGCAAAATTTGTTTAACTGGATATAAACCCGTTCCAATCACGGCGAGTTAATTGCTTGCTAGGCTTTATGTTCCTAAAACACATATTAATGGGCTTTTTAATTTGAGCCCAACTATTATTTATTTCTTCACTCTTTACTAATTACGGCCTGTAATTAATTTGAAAAACTGTAGGAAGATATTTGAGAGTTCCCACTTCCCAAGGCAAGCGGAAGCAGAGGAAAAGGCAGTTATCAAGTGACCGGAGAATTCCTTAGCGAAAGGTAATTTCATTTCGGCTGTAAAAAGCAAGATTTTTACAAGTCTGTAATTTGATTTTCATTGTTTCGTTTTATGGCTTTTCACTTACGGCCTAAATAGGTGAATTCCTTAGCGAAAGGTCATTTCATTTCTGTAAAAAAAACAAGATTTACAAGTCTGTAATTTGATTTTCATTGTTTAGGGTTAATGTTTTCTGAATGATTTTATAAACCTGCTAAAAAAAGTGATCGTTTGAAATGGAGCTTTCTAGGGTTTCTTACTTAAAGAATTTCTTGTAGGTTTTGGTTGTGGTCATGGCTGAAAGAGAGGTTGTAGTGTTGTGTTACTTGAATTGTCGTATCAAGCATGGTCTTGATGGCGTCTACTTTGAAGGATCGGCTCCTAAAGAGATGAGAGTCAAGAAAAAGACTGACTTTAGCAGATTTCTGGATGGGCTTTATCTAATTGCTGGATTAGATAAGCAAAAATCAAATCTTGAAGTATTTGGTAGGCGACCTGTAGTTGTTTCACCCAATCATTTTAGGTATGTACTTTATGGTGTGATGAGCGACTCTAGTTTGGAGACTATGCTTGAGGTTCCAAGCAATCACCCTTCCATAAACACTGTGGAAATGTTCTTGGAAGTTAAACCAACTTCTGGTGGTGATGTTATTGCTGCTTCTTGTTCATCATTGCCAATGGAAAATCCCTGTAGATCCTCGAAAAGACAGAAGAGCACACAACAAGAGGTGGGGGATAAAGATTCAGGTGGTTCAGATGTGTGCTTGAATAATGAAGCTAAGGTTTCAACACCTCGTCTTGTGTCGGTATGTGGCTTGACGATGATACAATGCGTGTGGGATTGTGTTTTAAAGATATAGGTGAGCTGAAGAAGGCAGTGGACTGGTGGTCCATCAAGAGGCAGAAAATATGTTTAGTAAGAGAGAGTGACAAAGACATGTATGTGTTTGAGTGTGCAAGATGGCGATGCAAGTGGTCAATTTGTGCAGCTAAATTGGAAGAAGACGGTCTTTTTGAGATAACCAAGTGTTGTGGTCCACATACTTGTTCCTCTGGCCGTTCACAAGATTTTAAAGTCAAGTTTTTGGAATATGAGATGGAACGTGCGCTCAGGGTACAGCCCACGCTCTCAACTGCAGAGTTGGCTAAGTGGTGGAAAGAAAAATTTGGCTATGCGCTTGACGCAGTGGAGGAGCTGGAGCATTGTGCGGAAGGAGCTTTGCAGGATGCACAAGCGAAAGCCATCGAAAGAATCTTTGGAGATTGGGATCAGAGTTTCATATTCATGCCCAAGTTAATGTCTGTGCTTCACTCTTCTAATGGCATGCTCGTGGACTGGCAATATGATTCTTCGCCTGATCCTGAATACGCGTCAGTCTTTTCGAGGCGTGTTTTGGGCATTTTCACAGTTTATCCAAGGGTTCCAGCATTGTAGGCCTTTGATCATTGTGGACACCAAAAACTTGGGCGGTAGATACAATATGAAGTTGATGATTGCCTCAGGGGTTGATGCAGCCAACAAGTACTTTCCGCTTGCCTTTGCGGTCACTAAAGAAGTGACCACTGACAGTTGGCGTTGGTTTCTCACTGGAATCAGAGAGAAGATTACACAAAGGAAAGGCCTTTGCCTCATCTCCAGTCCTCACCCGGACATACTCGCTGTCATTAACGAACCCGGGTCTCAATGGCAAGAACCCTGGGCTTATCATAGGTTCTGTCTGAATCATCTGTGCTTCCAATTCTGTAGCGTTTTTCCAGGCTACGACTACCACATGGAGTCTCTTGTGAGGGAAGCCGGGTCGTCGAGTCAGAAGGAAGAATTTGATTCCTACATGAAGCAGATCAAAGAGAAGAATCCAGAAGCTTGGAAATGGTTAGACCAAATCCCTCCACATCAGTGGGCTCTGTCTCATGACAGTGGTCGAAGATACGGAATCTTGAAGATAAAAACTAAAGCTCTCTTTGCTGTTTGTAGAGGATTTGGTAAAGTTGCAATGGCAGGGGGTGTGGTGCTTCTGTTTGGTAAGCTGAGAGACGCTTTTGACGAGTCTTTTAGCCGTAGCAGAGGTTCTCTTAACCGCGGCAAGGTGTACACAAAACCTGTCATGGAGAAGCTTAAAGAGTTCACGGAAGTCACTTGCGTTATAACACTGTTAGAAAGAGATGCATTTCAGGTCTCAACGGCCTCGAAAAAGAAGAAACCGTCATGGATGTCCGGTCTGACGGTTCCAAAGGTCAGTCAAATGAGTCAACCTCCGGGATTGTTAAGTTGAATGACTCAACCTGCACTTGTGGAGAGTTTCAAAGGAACAAGTTCCCATGCCTGCACGCTCTAGCTCTCTGCGATGAGCTGAAAATCAATCCCTTGCAGTATGTAGACGAATGTTACACTCTTGAACGGTATCACAAAACGTATGCGGCTACATTTTCTCCTGTTCCGGAGTTATCAGCTTGGCCGGAAGCTTCGGGAGTTCCTACATTGCTTCCTCCGGTCATTGAGCCACCTCCACCTAAAGTATCAGGTACGTGAAACAAATCCGCACTGGTAAGAAGCAGAGCTGAAAGTAAGCTAGACATATTTAAATTAAACCGGACTTAGGGCTTATGTAAATATTTATATGTCTTACTAATTCTGTTTTCTGTAGTATCTCTTGACTTTTGGGAAGTATAGGGTTAAACTGGTTCATGTCTATATTATTGTTGCGTTTCAAAGGAGATATATATTGTGTTATTGCAGTCTCTTATTTTTCTGACACCATGCTTGTGTTATCTTGTTAAAAGGAAAATGGAAAAAGGCCGAGGATGATCATTTTGAAGAAGATGACGACGAAGATGAAGAAGAGGAAGATGATGATAATGATGACGAAGATGAGTGGTAATGTTCATATAAGCAGCTTGTTTGCATAATGACATTTAACATAAAGATCCGTAGGTTTCATTCATGCCCACTTTAAAGTGTCCTTTGAAGTTTGGGTTTTACTTTCTAGTTAAGAATAAGAAGTGAAAGTTGGAAAGATTTTGGGTCGAACCAGACTTGAGATCAATCTGGTTCAGGATCAATCTGGTTGGTTGGTTGGTTATTTACTTTTCGGCTCATGACACTTTTTTTATCAAAGACCATTCATAGTTATTTTGTCTTGAGCATAATGGTGTCCACTGTCCGTTGATAAAAGTTGATTATATAACACGAGCTAGAAAACACAAATATAAGTTAGCTTTAACAGGAACAAATGATAAAAATATGAAGAAAAAAATGACAATTGAGCCAAAAGAGTATACAATCTTGCTTGCTGTCTTAAAAGTCAAAAAGAAGCTAGAACAGTGGAAGACATGTTGTGGCTAAAAACATGCGTTGGCTTCAGCCGCAAGGCTCACAAATGTTGCAAAGGGAATGTTGGATGCATGATGGTTCATAATACCTTACTCGTGCAATCAGTGTTCTCTCATCACAGGCCTGAAACTTGTTTTGTTTCTAGTTAGCAAATGTTTAAAAATGCATTGAGTATCCTCAACTATACAACTAACAAGATACAAATGACATGAATGTTGGTTCACAGCTAACTCAATGTTCAAAAATGCATTGAGTATCCTCAACTACACAGCAAATAAATTTATTCTTTTGGTTCTTCTTAGTACAGCATACCATTTGTCATTTTTGTCACTTTGATTCTCGATCAATCTGTGACTTATTATTGATATATCACAAATCTGTATATGGCTGATATTCAAAGTTATAACATTTGTCTGAAACACACCTGCAGCTGCAATTCAGTGGACGTAAAGTGAAGAACAAATATATATGGTACAACAAAAATTTCCCTCCAGAGTCTCACCTACGCCGATGAGAGAGTTTACCATTAGATCTCTTCTTTCCAGCGGTGGATTTCGACGTGGAAGAAGAAGAAGCTGAGAGAGACGAATTTCCAAATTCCTCCTTATCCTCACTAAAGGCCTTCTTCACAGTCTCTTGTATTTCCATGTACCTTTGCTTCTTTTGTATTCGTTTTTCAGGAGTGTCTTCTCCTTCGCAAGCCAGTTGAGTCAAGTCCTCACAGTCCATAATCGAATCCAGAACTGCCGAACAGCGTGGGAAGAAGCGTTTCCCGAGTTCCACTTATGATGCAAAACAGAGGAAAACATTGTTTTATTATTTTCATTATGTCTAAAGATGGATAAAGTTTTCTTCTTTGTTAGATGGAAATGGGTGAGAATCTATACCGGTTTTAGAAAGCGCTTTTAGTCTACTTTGATGCTCTTCTAGGATTTCGAAAGGTGCAATCTTTACGTCCGGTGATGTCCTCTTTGCACCAGTGAGACGTTCATGTTCGTGGTTAGTCCCTATGAACTCGCATGTTCCCTTCATTTGGGCGATGTCCATTGCAACTTGTGCTTCCATTGGAAAGAGACGTCGAGCCAGTGCAACTAAACAAATGGATACAAAGTATAGTTACCACCAAACAGAGAGCACAAAGAATCCCCGATTCAAATGAGTAAAGGAAGCAAGAGAGATACCTCTGTTTTCAAGATCGAGCAGCCTCGACTTCAGTTCATGTCCAGCCATTGCAAGAGATGGAGAAACATCTCTAGGAAACGGATCTCCTTTGTCTGCTTGCTCTAATATCTCTACGCACAGCCGGCCTTTGAGAGAAGGCTTGCATCGCTCCGTTACATTGTTATACTCAGCCGCCATAGTGACTTGTTTCGCGATCAAGAGAGCGGTTCTACCTTCCAAAGACGTGTCTGATGCATTTGCTCCTTTTGTCAACAGAGACGCTATCAGTTTTGGCTCCTTACGCATCGCAGCAACATGAAGCACCGTGTAACCCCTCGGATTTCTACAATTAACATCTGCAAGCTCCAGGTCTAAGAGATCCGTCGCGGTCTTCACATCGCAGTACGCAACAGCGAAATGAAGAGCATACGCATCATCAAGATTGGTGTGGCCTTCTTTCAAAAGCATCTTGACAAGCTCAACATCATCCGAGTCAAGCGCCTTGTATATGTTCGAGACATGTTTCTCTAGCTCAGGTACCTCAAAGCCGAGCTCTTTACGGATCTTAGTTATCTCTTTGACAATGTGTTGCGGCAAGGACTTGTCAAGAGTAACTAAATCGACATCAGACTTGACAATAATCTCTTTGCATCTATCAGTTAGCTTCTCGCATGCTTTACCACAGATGTTAGCAAGCTTGAGTATGACCAATGTGTCCTCTACGAAAGCTTTGTCTACAACATCCAGTAAATGCCTCTGCAAAATGCAAAATCACAAAAGAGAAGCATTGGTAAAGTTGCTACTTTTAGCTTCTAAAAAAAGCTAAAAAAAGTTGCTACTTTTAGCTTCTTCTCCGATGGTAAAGATGGTGTTTTTATACCTGATAGAGCGTAACTAGCTCCGGAATCTCGAAGACGAAAGCCAAATAGAGAACCTCCACCATGAAATCCACCGCCGGCCGGCAAGCCACGTGGCAGCAGTTCTCGTAAGCGCAATCGGAAACACCCTTCGGCGGCGGCTTCACTCTGCCGCTGTAAATGTACGACAAAACAGCAACCACCGAGTCGAAACCCACTTGGTGATCCTTGGCAATCTCCTTCAGCTCGAGCTTCACGGCGGCGGAATTCTTCACGGCGGCTAAAGCGTTTCTGAAGAAGGGGCTTCTCGCTGCCAGAAGGCAACGGTGGAAGGGTACTTCCCGTCCGCCGGCGAGAATCAGCTTGGCGTCGCTGTAGAAATCTTCCGGCGAGTCGAAGACGGATTCGAGGCTGTTGGAGAGTAGCTGAAGCGCCGATACATCGGGTCCGGTGAGAAATTCGGCAGGACAAACAGTAGATGACTCGGTGTTATCGGTCGGTGCCGGAGCGGCGGCGAAGAAGCTTGTGCTGCTTGTGTTGCTGATTTCATACGAGTCGGCGAATCCAGCAATGGTGTCCATCAATCACAAATTAGAGATCCGCTGAAACAAAATTTACACTCCAATCAACAAAGAAGAAAAATTTATCAACGAGTTTAAACATTGACGAACACAAGAGAGAGAGTCAAGTCAATGAGAGCGATAAAGCTTCGACGGTCGTTTCACGAGCTTACCGGTAAATTTCCTGGAAAAGGCATAAACTGATTTTTTTTTTTTTTTTTTTTTTTTTTGTAAATTAGAAAGAAAATTAAACATTGTCCGTATAATGGGCCTCCATTACGTATGGGCCTCAAAAACAAATTAATATCAATTTTTTTTTCTCTACTTCAAGGCTTTAAACTTGTTGTGCATTGCTATGTTCAAATTTGCTAGACAAATATATTTCTGGGAGCAAACTCCATGCGAATATGAATGTATTAAGGTGCCAACAAATTAGATAAAGGTCAATTAATCATTAATTAGATAACTTAGACAATGTTTTGTGTTATATGACATGACACTTGAGATGTAGGGATTTACTCTCGAGATCTTATGCAAAAAAATTGCTTTAAAAATATTATATAACTCGTAAAAAACACAAACCAGTTGCAAAATTAAAATATTTTTAGATAGGCATAATAGTTGATTTTTTTTTTTCTTGCTCTCATGTTGACTCTATCAAACTTTCTCTAAATTGCATTTCTCGACCCATCTCTGACTGATTCTCTTCTTTCATTTAGATCAACCCTTTCGTAGTCAGAACAAAACGGAAAACATATGTAATTGGCGAATTCCTTCTTCACATGAAAGATCAACTTCTCTGTGTTTATGTTGTAGAAACAAAATCGATCCCAGCTTGAAAGCGTTATGACGTCGTTGCTTGGAGTCCACACAACGTTCTCTCCTAACCCCATACATTTAATATCTTTCACTTTTACCCACGACTTTTCACAACTGCTCTTTAAAACCCATAACCGGTTTAATTCCTCTCCAGAACCGGTCATCCACCAACGAATAACACCTAGCTTCCCTTCGAATCTGACCAATTTTGGAGAAACACCGAAGTTCGGAGTTTGAAAAAAAGACCAAGTTTCGGTTTTGAGACAGAACCGGATCACATTGCCATTCCATGATAACCAGTGCAAGAATCCAGTAGCTTGTACTGGGTTTGAAAGAATAAGACCGTCTTTCCTTTCCTAGGTAGATGCAAATTTCTTAATCTGTTCCACTTAAAGGAATCAGAATCAAAAATTTCGCATGCGAAAGTTCTCTGACTCCGATTCAATATACCTGGTAATAACCTAGAAAGCCTGAGTATTTTATACCGGAAAGGCTTCGATCGGATTACCGTTAAACCGAATGAGATAGAGCAATTCTGCATTTGTGGGCTCGGTATGATTTGATACTGTTCTGTTGTTGGTTTGCAGACTATGTACTCCGGCACACTTGGTCCTGTTTCATTAGCACAAAGAAAAATCCCATGACTTGCATCACAAGCTTCAATTTTTACTTTTTCTGGTGGTAGAAAATTCATCGAGACTCCGTTGTTTTCAAAACCTCTCCTCTCGTGGACAAAGCTGGTTTGAAATTTGCATCCTCCTTCGTTGTATTGCGCCAAGTATCCTGAAATCGAATTGGTTCTAAGGAGATTGATATTGAGAAACCAAGACTCGTAACTTCTCTTGTTGCAATCTTTGTTCAGAAGCCTGTATTTTCCAACATCCGAAGCTGGAGAACGAGAGAGAATCTCTAGAATCATGTCTTGATTTATCGCCGGGGAACTCATGACCCTGTCGGAGAAAAGCGGTGATAAGAATGATCAGGACGATGGGAAAAAAAGAAAAAGTATTATCGGTATCGTGTATATATATTGTTCATATATCTTTTTTTTTATGGATAAGTACCGATCTTGCCTTTTTATTCGCTAGTTCCAAATTAACAAATAGATAGCTGAACTTTTAAAATATTTCATCATCGATTAAAATCATTAATTATCGAGTAGCTTGAGCCCAAAGTTTCTATCTTGACTTTTAGATGGGTTTACTCATATATGTATTGTATCTTGTATCAATTTCTATTAGGTTAATCAATATCGGTATTTTTAATAATTAAATTGTTATCTCAATTTTTTAACATTTAGCTAACTTGATTAAGGTTGCCCAAAAAAAACTAACTTGACTAATTTTTTCTTTTTGTTCTTTTTAATTTGTATATCTCAATGATTAATTTGTTATCTCAATTTTTAATGATTAATTTGTTCCTTTTGCTTCTATTTAGCTTTTAATTAGCCGACCATGATGTGAATTGTTGCTTTGTTTTTGATATCTGTAGTAGGAGAATCCATAAAGGCAAATTAATGTCTCATCAATGAGGAAAGATTCTGGTTATTGTAACATTCCTGAATTACTTTGAATTTGATTTCAAAGGTACTGCTTGGATAGGATCCATGAGATCCACATTTAAAACTTGTGTACACGCCAAATTGCTTGTGCATAACTACATTTAAAGAAGAGATGGTTTTTATGGATTCGTGGTAATACATTGAGGATCAATAATAATACTTCTACGACTGAGAATTAATGGTTCCGATTACCATTGCATTAGAGAGCATTTTTCACAAAAAAACTATCATATTTTGGACCAATTTTCTCTTGATTTGGTGACTGTAAAATTCTCCAAACTTGTAGAACCAAATTGATACTTTCTTCAATGTCTCGAAAACCTAAACCCAAACCCTAGCTTTCACTGGTTAATTGTTATTTTTCTATTTTTTTTTCTGCTTCAAAACTCTCTAATTAATTACATAATTTATTTAATAAAAATAATAACGACGAAAGTCGCGGGAACACTTCATAAATGGCTCCCAGAGAGTGCGGACAACGGCCCAACACAAAACCAAATCGAACCTGACGAAAACGTTACACTTTTGCAATTAATAAAAAAATTTCCTGGCAACTTTTTTTTCTTCTCTGCTTTGCCTGCAAAACCGTTACAGAGAGACAGCGAAGAAAACCTTTGAGGAAACATTTTTTAGAAGCAGCAATGCAACCCGAAAGAGAAGAAGGAATATAACTTCTTTCTCTCTCTTTTGAAGCTTCTTCTGATTCAAAGGTCAGATCTTTAGCGATTTTTTAGCGGTTGATTTTTCTTTATTTTCTCCTTTGAACCCTAATTTTGGAGATGTTTGGTGATCAGCTTGGAGATTGTTGATGTTTTGGATCAATTCGATTAATCAAAGAGATGATTTGATTCATCCCAAGAGAATTCACCGATCCTTGAACAAAAAGGATCTTCATTTCAGGTTTTTATCTTTTGATTCTGTTTTTTTTTTCCTCCCTCCATATATTATATGCTCTGTAAAATGATTAACGGTTGAATTTTCCTCTGTTTTTTTGTAGTTTCCTCTGCTTTTGATAGTTTTCTCATCTTGATTTTCCTTTTTTTGTGTTTTTTTTTCCAGATCAAAGTTACTTCGATCTTGTTGGTTTGGAGAAATTTGACTGCTTTAATTACAAGACTGTGATGGAGCAATTCAGGCAAATCGGGGAGGTTCTAGGAAGCTTAAACGCGCTTATGGTATTACAAGACGACATCTTGATCAACCAAAGACAATGCTGTTTACTGTTGGATATCTTCAGTTTGGGTTTCAACACCGTAGCCGAAGAGATCAGACAAAACTTGAAGCTTGAAGAGAAGCATACCAAATGGAGAGCCCTTGAACAGCCTCTAAGGGAGCTCTATAGAGTGTTCAAAGAAGGAGAAAGGTATGTCCGGAACTGTATGTCCAACAAAGATTGGTGGGGCAAAGTAATCAACTTTCATCAGAACAAAGATTGTGTTGAGTTTCACATACACAACTTGTTCTGTTACTTTCCGGCTGTCATCGAAGCCATCGAGACAGCCGGAGAGATTTCGGGTCTCGACCCTTCTGAGATGCAGAGGAGGAGAGTTGTGTTTTCGAGAAAGTATGACAGAGAATGGAATGATCCGAAGCTGTTTCAATGGAGGTTTGGGAAACAGTATTTGGTTCCAAAGGATATTTGCAGCCGGTTTGAGCATTCATGGAGAGAAGATAGGTGGAATCTAGTGGAGGCATTGCAAGAGAAGAGAAAGTCCAAGAGCGATGATATTGGCAAGACAGAGAAGCGTTTAGCTGATTTTCTGTTGAAGAAGCTGACCGGATTAGAACAGTTTAACGGTAAGCTCTTCCCGAGTTCGATACTTGTTGGTTCTAAAGATTACCAAGTGAGGAGGAGATTAGGTGGTGGTGGTCAGTACAAGGAGATTCAATGGTTAGGGGATAGTTTCGTGTTGAGACATTTCTTCGGTGATCTTGAGCCGTTAGCTGAAGAGATCTCTTCTCTGTTATCGCTTTGTCACTCGAATATACTTCAGTACTTATGTGGATTCTATGATGAAGAAAGGAAAGAGATTTCTCTGGTTATGGAGTTGATGCACAAGGACTTGAAAAGCTACATGAAGGAGAATTGTGGACCAAGAAGAAGATATCTCTTCTCTGTTCCCGTTGTGATCGATATAATGCTCCAAATCGCTCGAGGGATGGAATATCTTCATTCGAATGAGATCTTCCATGGAGACTTGAATCCAATGAACATTCTTTTGAAAGAGAGAAGTCACACCGAAGGTTACTTCCACGCCAAGATCTCAGGTTTCGGTTTGATCTCGGTCAAAACTCAGTCTTTTACTCGGGCTTCCTCAAGACCAACCACTCCTGATCCTGTGATTTGGTATGCACCTGAAGTTCTAGCAGAGATGGACCAAGATCTCAAAGGCAGAGCTCCGAGATCAAAGTTTACACATAAAGCTGATGTTTATAGCTTTGCTATGGTGTGTTTTGAGCTCATAACCGGCAAAGTTCCGTTTGAGGATAGTCATCTTCAAGGAGATAAGATGGCTAAGAACATTAGAAATGGAGAGAGACCTCTCTTCCCATTCCCTTCGCCGAAATATCTTGTTAGTTTAATCAAACGGTGTTGGCATACAGAGCCGAGCCAGCGTCCGACTTTCTCTTCGATTTGCAGGATCCTCCGCTACATCAAGAAGTTCCTTGTTGTGAATCCGGATCACGGTCACATTCAAATCCAAAATCCACTTGTTGATTGTTGGGACTTGGAAGCAAGATTCTTGAGAAAGTTCTCACTAGAGTCAGGGTCTCACGCGGAGTCCGTGACACAGATACCGTTCCAGCTTTACTCATACAGGATTGCAGAGAAAGAGAAGATGAGTCCGGAGATTAACAAAGAAGAGAATTCAGAGACAGGTGAGTCTGCTTCAGAGAGCGTTTCAGTGGTTGAAGATCCACCAACAATGCCAATGTACACAAAGTCGTTGTGCTTAGATGCAATATCTGAATACTCAGATACAAGATCAGTTTACTCAGAAGCTCCCATGAAAAAGATCTCAGCTTTGAAGAAAAGTGGCGACATGGCAAAGCTCAGAAGGAATTCAAGCGCAGGTTTAGATACGTTTTGTACAAACCAAACTACTTAGTTCTATATGAATCAACCAAAAAGAATAATTCTTTCATGAATTTGTTACAGGTTTAAGGTCTCCAGGATCATCGCCTATAAAGCCAAGATCAGCACCGAAAGTGTCATCGCCGCTAAGTCCATTTGGAAGAAACAGCAAAGCAAGGAAGGATACTAGATTGCCTTTGAGCCCTATGAGTCCGTTGAGCCATGGAAGACGTAGACATCTCTCTGGTCCTGCTTCAGACTCTGAGCTAACATAGCTTTTGAACACACTTCTTGTTTTTGCAGACAACAAACGAAAACAAGAAGAGCTAGAGATTTTAGTTTCAATTCCTTCATTATATTCCTTTTTTTGTGTAACATCTTGAATTCCTTTGCGTTCCTTTTCTTCTTATTTTTTGGCTGTAAATTTTTCTCTTTTTTCTACTTACTTCATTTTCTAGCTTCTGCAAGTTTCTCTATTTTTTAAAAAACAAGAGCTTTACCATCTTCGCCGAAATAGCTCATTGAAACAGTCGTGTGTTTGAGGTTTTGGTCGATTATTTGCTTGTGGGGAAGATTAAAGATTGGATCTTGCGATTGATTGCGTTTGGAATGTCCTCGCAGACGCAATTACGTTTGATTATCAATGAGTTCTCGAGGAAATCACAAAAGAGATTGAGTACCCAGAAACTGCAGAGCTTTGTTACCAAAACCCATCTCGCGCGTGATCCCTATTTCGCGACGCAGCTTGTAAGGTACTATGCGTTAAACGATGATCTTCTCTCTGCACGCAAACTGTTCGACGTATTTCCTGAGAGAAGCGTTTTCCTCTGGAACTCTATCATTCGAGCTTACGCTAAAGCTCATCAACTTGGTACCTCCTTGTCGCTTTTCTCTCAGATGCTGAGTTCCGATACGAAGCCGGATAACTTCACCTTTGCGTGCTTAGCTCGTGGGTTTTCAGAGAGTTTCGATACCGAGAGACTGAAGTGTGTTCATGGAACTGCAATCGTATCTGGTCTTGGATTTGATCAAATTTGCGGCAGTGCGATTGTTAAAGCTTATTCAGAAGCAGGCCTTATTGTTGAAGCAAGTAAGTTGTTTGTTTCAATACTAGAGCCAGATGTTGCTCTGTGGAATACTATGGTTTCTGGATATGCACGGTGTGGATTTTGGGAGAATGGAATCAATTTGTTTAACTCAATGTTACATCAAGGAAATCGACCTGATTGTTATACAATGGTAGCCTTAACTACTGGAGTTATTGATCCTAGTTTATTACTCGTTGCTTGGTCTGTTCATGGGTTTTGTTTGAAAGTGAATTTAGATTCTCATTCTCATGTTGGCTGTGCTCTAGTGAGCATGTACTCGAGATGCAGGTGCATGACTTCTGCTTATAGTGTGTTTGGTAGCATCTCTGAGCCTGATTTAGTTGCATGTTCCTCGTTGATAACGGGTTATTCAAAATGTGGAAACCACAAGGAGGCTTTGTATCTGTTTAGTGAGCTGATAATGATTGGTAAGAAGCCAGATTGTGTTATTGTTGCGGTTGTATTAGGGTCTTGTGCTGAGTTATCGAATTCTCTCTACGGAAACGAAGTGCACGGTTATGTTATTCGACTAGGACTAGAACCGGATATAAAGGTCTGCTCTGCTCTTATAGACATGTACTCAAAATGTGGGTTTTTGGATTCCGCGATGAGTCTTTTCGAGAGGATTCCAGAGAAAAACACTGTTTCTTTCAACTCCGTTATTTTGGGTCTTGGCTTGCACGGTTTTGCTTCCTCTGCGTTTGAAAACTTCAGCGAGATGCTTGAGATGGGATTGAACCCCGACGAGGCCACTTTCTCTTCTCTTCTTTGTACCTGTTGCCATTCTGGTCTTTTGAACGAAGGTCAGGAGATCTTCATGAGAATGAAGAGTGAGTTTGGTGTTGAGCCACGAACAGAGCATTATGTTTACATTGTAAAGCTAATGGGAATGGCTGGAAAACTGGAAGAAGCATTTGAGTTTGTAATGTCATTTCGAAAACCGGTTGATTCAGGAATTTGGGGAGCATTATTGTCATGTTGTGAAGTTCATGAGAACACTCATTTGGCTGAAGTTGTAGCAGAGAAGATATTGGAGAATGAGGAAGAGAGAAGAAGTTTTCACAACGTTATGCTCTCTAATATGTATGCAAGATATGGGAAATGGGATGAAGTAGAAAGGCTTAGAGATAGAATTTCAGAGAGCTTTGGAGGTAAATTGCCAGGTATCAGCTGGGTTTAACTGCAGAGGAAAGGGATCATTGCTTGATTGGGTCCATTTTGATATAGATGAAGAGGTTACAGATGAAGAAAGAGCAAAGAAGCTCTTTGTGGTGTTTGAGAAACAGTAAGGAGCTAAAGAGGAGATGGAGAACGCCAATGTTGGTAGAGAGGGTTTCAGTACGAAAATGAGGTTAAGAAAGACCCTTTGAAAAGAGTCTAGGGAACAAGAATTTGATCAGAGAAGTGTATGAGAGGGAAAGTGCTAAAGATACTGCCTGAGATATATCTATCAGTGGTGAGCTCTTTGCTTGGATATGAATATACATTTGATCAGATTCTGTGAAATGCAATTATATGGTATTCTGCTAACTACTGTTTGGGTCAATGGTGCAGTAGTAATTATGCCTTGTATGAGGAGCTCGAAGCTGATTGATATAGAGTGTTTTGAAACATCCCTCATGATAAGTTTCCTTTCACCAAAGTATGGTTGCTTGCTTCAAATTAATTCAAAGGTGCACTTGTGATCTTAGGCAATGGTACCTCCCTCAACAAAACAAGAATAAAAGCAACTGTAGATAGTAGTAATTAAGAAGTGCACAGAGTGGAATGTAAGTTTGTAGCAGTAGAGCAGTTGTAGATTTAAACAAACTATACTTGGTTTCTTCCTTGTCATTAAACTTGTCACAGAATGCAATTTTCTTCCAGTCCACAAAATGAAGATCCTCTTGGTTTTGATTAATATACCCTTAGGCAATGGTATCTGTAATAAAAAAGTTAATCGGATTTAACCGAGTCAACCTGAGATCATTTCTTATAATTCGAGTTTGGTAGGTTCTATCATAATGTTCCAAAACATTAAGCCGTGTCATTATCAAAAATACATGAATGAGATACTAACCCAACGAGAGAGAGGTGGTTATGGTCGTAGGTAAATAGGGAGTCAAAAATAAACCATTCAATTTATGTTTTTTTCCTTTTTTTCTTCTTATCACAACCTCTAATATTTCTCTCTTTCTGCTAAATTTTTCTCTTTTTTATTCAAAAAACAAAATTAGATCAAATTCTGGATTCAGTTTTCCCAGGACTGCGGAGAAAGGACTATTCAATTTTCACATTTACCTGGTAATTCTTTTTCTTCTTTTTTTCCACTACCTGTTAATTCTTATTTCTAGTTAGAAAAAAATGACAAAGTTTTAGAGGTTTTCAATTTGCTGAAAATTTTGATCTAGTTTTGGAAAAAAACAACATAAATGAAGTGTTGGTATACGTAGGTGTTTGATTCGATCGATCCCTAATTAGATTTACGAAAACGTGAAATCATTTGAAGAACCAATTTATTCTCTGATTCTGGCCTAATTATTGAATGTATGTGATTCATCTTGAATAATGCATCTCTTGTTGATAAGTAATTAAAAACTCTATATTCCAATCTGTGTGGTATTTATATATTGATCATACAAGACAAAACTTGATGAACAAGTTATTGCTCCTATCAATGCACAAGGTAAAACAAAAATTGCTGACTCCTTTGTTTGTGGTTTTCCAGGATGATTCTTGATCGTGCTGGTTTTCGTTCCGATCGGTAAGCTCTATTTGCAGAGGCAAGAACAAACATCGTGAGAATTGGATTCACATTTCTTGGAAATGGAGCGAGCAAAGACAGGTAGGGTTTTGTTTGAATTGATGCTCAATATTGGAAACTATTATTTTCAATTGTTTATGTAAAGTTTTGTTAGTTCTCTTGTCATCTCTGCAGAAGTGGAGAAGAAAGTGTCAAGACTTCTAAAATTCATCCAAAACAAAAACAGGATTCCAAAGGATTCGAAAAGAGACCTTCTAGCGATTGCCACCGATCTACAAGCGCAGTGTCAAACTCTTTATTCTACAATTGATGATTTTCAACAAGATTTGGATCCTACAAGTGTTGTTGAAGAAGGATGCGAAATCGATGTGCTTAAGAGCAAGCTTGAAGCATTGAGGAATGAGGCTGAAGAGAAAGAACGAGAACTGACTTTGCGCGTGAAGGAGCTAGAGCGAGAGCTAGGAGACGCGAAAGCCGAGTGTGATCGAAAGAGAGACTTAGAAGAAGAGATTGCGATGAAAGCTAGCGAAAGTAAGCAATTAGGAGAGAAGAACAAAGGGCTTAGATCACAGATCTCTGGTTTGGAATTGGTTTTGAAAGAGAAAGGAGATGAGATATCAACACTTGTGAACAAGTTTGGGAACAGTGAGTTAGGTTTAACATCTAGGATCGAAGATTTGAAGTGCCAGTTGAGAAATTTGGAGCAAGAGATTGGTTTCCTTCGTGCAAGAAACGCAGAATTGTCTGCAAGCTTTGAAGTTAAGAGAGCCGAGGAGAAGAAACGTGTTGAGAGGTTGATGGATCAGGTAATTGGCATGAAACATGAGCTTGAATCATTGCGGAACCAGAAAGATGAAGCTGAAAGAAGAAACAGAGGAACAGAGGAACAGAGGAAGAAATTGAATGAGGAGATTGACCATCTTAGAGGAGAAAATCAGAAGCTGCATACAAGAATCGCAGAGCTCGATTCATTGCATATGGAGATAGAGACGAAGAATGCTAATGAACTCGATGATGAAAGCAAGAAACTGAACATTCAAGTTTATGATCAGAAGAAAGTGGTCAAGGAACAAGATGATATCATTCGCAGGTTATCAGCAAAAATCAAGGATCAGCAGAAACTTCTCAAAGAACAAAAAGATACCATTGACAAGTTCTCTGAGGATCTCAAGCAATCGAAACGTTGGTCTTCTGGTTCGGGCCGGGATTCGAAACTGAATCCAAATACCCTAGAGAAGAAAATGGAGGAATTAGCCGAAGATTTCCGGATGAAGATAGAAGATCACATTAGGATACTGTACAGGAGGATCCACGTAGCTGAACAGATACACTTAGAGAGCAAGAAGGAGTATATCAAAACACGAGAGGTAGCTCAAGAAAACAGAGAAAATAGAGAAAGTTTGATCTTTTTCGAAACCCATTTCAAGAAAATCAAAGACGTTTGGGAAAACGGGTACGCGAGATCGATGAAGAAGCTAGAAGAAGCAGAGGAGCACACGAACAGAGTTGCAAGATTAGCAAAAGAGATTGATTCAGCAAAGATTTGGGTAAGTGAGAAGAAGAACGAGCTAGAAACTGTAGCCGCAAAGGTAGAATGCAGAGAGGCTCAAGAATCTTTGTTGAAAGAGAAGCTATCAAAGCTAGAGAAGAAGCTTGCGGAAGAAGGAACAGAGAAGCTGAGTTTAGCAAAGGTTTTGAGCAAATTTGAAGTGAGAATCAAAGAGCTTGAGATCAATGCCAAGGGACGAGAAGTTGAATTGTTGAGCTTAGGGGAAGAGAAGAGAGAAGCCATAAGACAACTCTGTGTTCTTGTGGATTACCATCGAGATCGATACGATGAACTCAAGAAATCAATCGTAAAGTTATATCAAGAAACCTAATGTGTTATATATAAAAACTAACTCTTTTGATCCCACTTTGTTTTCTTTCTCCAAAAAAATAATATTTTCTGTAAAATTATATTATATGTTGTATGTTTTTTTAAAAAACCACATACTGATTAAAAATTGGTTGAGAACTTTTGTGTAGACAAAAGTAACATTAACAATTTTTTGTGGATACTTGTTTGACCACCCATAATAAAACATGCAGAAGAACCAATTTTGTCATCCATTTTTTTTAAACAGTGACTAGGAAATGCAGGAACACCGGTTGCAACTTTTTTGAAACATGCAAATAATGTTTTGGAAACAGAATTTTAAACAATAATGGTCGAAATATTTAACATTCTTTAGATACTTGTTTATTTATTTTTTCCCTATCATGTAAAACTAAAATACAGTAGAAACTTTAATATTCGATAAATCAATAAACACTATAACTTAATAATTTTTATAGTCTTGAATTAGACCAGTTTAAAATATAACACAATTCAATAAGATAATAACTTTAACAAAATTTTTATGTAAATATATGGTTCCATTAATATCATAAATTAATAATTATTATAAACAAAATTTTATTTAAATATATACATAAGATAATCTACTAAAATACGAATATAGTAATTTATTTATTTATTTAAATTATATTTTTTTGAAACTTATTTTAATTTTTTGAAATTAAAAATTATATAATTTTTTAAGAATTAATAAAAATAAAAATTCTTTAAAATTTATAAATTAATAACTCTATAAATTAGTAAATTAATAAAATTTTAATATTATTAATCTATAGAGTTTTTACTGTATGTTTATTTCTTGCAAGGGTAAAAATAAGAAATTTTAAATAATTTTGAGGAACAAATCTGGAAAATGCCAGCTGTGAAGCGGAGACGCTCAGCTGGAGAGAGGAGGAATTAGGAGAGTCATCACTCACCAATGGCAAAAAACGTAATAAAGTCTTAAGTGGAGGGGTGTTTGTGAGAATTTAACTCTCTCATAACAACAGACCCAGTAGTGTCCGTTTTCTGACATAAGTCCAAAGTCCAAACCGAACCACTTTTCTCCTCTCTCTCTCTATTCATTCTTTCGTTGCTTTGAATTAAGACACAAATTTTCTTCATTTCTTCTGAATTCTCGCCGAATCTACCTCTTTTTTTTTTTGGATTCCCAGGTAAAATCTCCGATCTTTTAGTGATTAGATCGGTAATTCGGTATAGCTCACGCCTTCGTCATCACAACTCGCTCTATAGTTTCTGATTATGAACACAACTTAGGATCGATGACCTTTTTTTTGTTTGTTTTGTAATCTTTAGTGAATCGTTTAGTTTATATATACTGTTTGCTATATCAGGTTACTATGAGGTTTCGGTGTTTTTGGCTTATTGAGAAATGAAGATTTCGCAACTGTTTGTTTTTATCCAATTAATTCTCACTTGGTTTCTACTTCTATCATGTACTCGAATCTTCGTTTCAGAAATGCTAATTTTTGTTTACTTGGTAGTTGGTAGCGTAATTACGATTTTTCTGGGGGGGCTAAAAAGATTTCTCTACCTCTATTATTGTTTGATAGAAACAACTCATATGGGTAGCTGTCTCTTTTCTTTTAATCATTCTGTGTGCTTTTCTGGTTCCCATTCTCTAAAAGTTGCTCTGGTGGCTCCACTTTCTCCAGCCATTACTTGTTCAATTTCTTAACTCCCGAGTCTAGGACCTAATCATTTTCTTAATTGAGTATTAGTACTTCAATTAGTGAACAATTTATCAGATTTTATTAAGCTAAATTGTTCAAGAAAGAGTGCCAACTTTGGATATGTTTATCTAAAATTAGACTCATTGCTACAATTGATTAGCAATTTTGGATATCTATGTTTGTAATAGTAAAAAAATATATCTCTCTATTCTAATGCGATATAGTAAATCTGAAATTGTATCATTGGTGGTGGCTTTGTAGTATCTATTTGTATTTTTGAAGATAAGTAATTGCCTTTTTAGTTTCTACTTCAAACATGATTTTGCATTTGTATCACCAGAGAGGATGTATCCATCTGTCTTTAAACGAATCACACTTCTATGGTATAGATTATTACTTGTCAGTTTTAAATATTCCATTTTCTATGTGTTTGTTGGTCATGTCAGGCTCCAATTGAACCATCTACTACTTCTTTATTGCATTTCTGTTACCATCTAGTTGACAATTACACCGCATTAATATTAGTTTACTAATTTTTCAGTTTGATATTTTCTTGAACATGAAACTGATGGTCTCTTTTAATATTATATTAAACATTACCATTTGTTTTGAACAAGTTAAGAGTTTCTTCTCACATGTCTTCTTTGTAAAATTGTGCTTGATGGAGTTCCAGATGTCTCGGAGATGACATTTCAGTTCCAAATCTCAGACCTTTTCTTAAGTTCATTTGATTGATTTGAGACACTGAAGAAGAAAATGAGAAAGCATAGTATTAGAGACTCCTTGAAATCTTTCTTTGAGCCTCATCTTCATCCTGACAATGCTGAATTGCTCAAAGGAACAAAAACTGGTAATTTTTCTCTACGCTTCATCCTGGATCTGGTCTTTTGGTTTTGGACTTGTTTAGAAGAAAATTATTTTTGATCAACAATGCAGACATAGATGAAAAAGTGAAGAAAATCTTGGGAATTGTTGAGAGTGGGGAAATTGAGGAAGATGAATCTAAAAGAGTAGTGGTTGCGGAGTTAGTCAAGGAATTCTACAAAGAGTATGAGTCGCTGTATCACCAATACGATGATCTAACGGGAGAGATCAGGAAAAAAGTTCACGGGAAAGGAGAGAACGAGAGCTCTTCTTCCTCGAGCTCAGACTCTGATTCAGATAAGAAGAGCAAGAGAAACGGGCGGGATGAGAATGAAACGGACTCGGTAAAGAAACAGATCGAAGCTGCAAATCTTGAGATTGCTCATCTGAAAGGGAAGTTAGCAACAACCGTTGAAGAAAAAGAAGCCGTAGAATCAGAGCACCAAGAAACTTTGAAGAGGCTAAAGGAAACAGAAGAGATCTTTGGTAATCTGAGGCTTGAAAATGAGAAGTTAGCGACTGAGAACAAAGAGCTAAATCAGAAACTGGAAGCTTCTGGCGAGAAGGAATCTAATGTGAATCAGAAGCTAGAAGATGTGAAGAGAGAGAGAGATGGATTGGAAGCAGAGCTTGAGAAGAAGTCTCAAGAATTTTCTGAGTATGTGAATGAGATGGCGAGTAAGGCCAAAGAACACGAGAACACGCTGGAAGAAAATAACAGTCTAAAGGCACAAAAGAACGAAACCGAAGCAGAAATCGAGAGAGAGAGGCAAGAGAAGGCATCGTTGTTGAATCAGTTAAACGATGTGCAGAAAGAATTGTTAGAGCAAGAAGCTGCATACAATACGCTGAGCCAAGAACACAAACAGATCAACGGTTTGTTTGAAGAACGAGAAGCAACGATCAAGAAGCTGACTGATGATTACAAACAAGCCAGGGAGATGTTGGAAGAGTACCTGTCGAAACTGGAGGAGACAGAGAGGAAAATGCAAGAGACGGGTAAAGATGTGACGTCGAAGGAAACTGAGATTGTAGATCTCGAAGAAACAGTGGAGAGCCTACGTAACCAGGTAGAGATGAAAGGAGAAGAGATGGAGAGTTTGATGGAGAAAATGAATAACATTGAGGTTAAACTGCGTTTGTCAAACCAGAAACTGAGAATAACCGAACAAGTGTTGAGGGAGAAAGAAGAAGAGCTGAAGAGCATAGAAGCTAAGCATTTAGAGAAAATGGCGGTGACCCACGAAACATATAGAGGTTTGATCAAAGAGATCTCAGAGAGAGTGAATTCGACAATTCTGAATCGGTTCCAAACTCTGTCTGAAAAAGTCGAAGAGAAGCACGGAAGCTATGAGGAAACCGTGGTTGAAGCGACGAAGATGCTTTTGAAAGCGACTAAGTTTGTGAAAGAGATGAAGAAGGAGAAGGAAGAGATGGAGAAGGATAAAGAAGAGATGGAGAAGAAGCTTGAAGGTAAAGTAAGGGAAGAGGAGAGAGAGAAGGAGAAGTTGAAAGAGACATTGTTGGGATTAGGAGAAGAGAAGAGAGAAGCGATAAGACAGTTATGTGTATGGATCGAACACCATAGAGACCATTGTAAGTATCTTGAAGAGGTTTTGTCCAAAATGGTTGTGGCAAGAGGACATGGACGGTCACAGCGAGCTTAAAGTTATGCCTCTCAACTGTAAGTTAGAGCTTAGCTCTGTTTATTTATTTATTTTTTTCTTTTCTGATAAGTATTTGTTTTGTGACTTTTAAGTCGAATATGTTTTTGTTGCGGTGTGATGATTGTTTTGTAGTTGTTTGTAAGATCATAAAGCTGAATCTGGATGGATGGTGAGGTTTGTATAGACCCATTGATATTGATGTTGATTTAAGGTGGATTTCTCTTTGTAAAATATTTGCTTATGTTTTTTGGTTCATTTCTAAAAAATTCTTTGTGAAAACTTCTACCAACTTTAACTCAATACCAAATATCAGGGAAAACATTCCGATTAAAGATATTTTTAAGAATTTTTTTTCTCGTCGATAGTGGTCGCGGGTAACTTATGCATAAACTGTGAAAAAAATACTGAAGTTAAAGTACATGAGACTAGACTGGTCGAGAAAAAGAAACAGAAGAAGGAAGAAAATGAAATTACGGAGGTTCAAATTTATTCGGTTTCGGAAAGAAACACACACTGAAAAAAAAAGCAAATAAATATTTTACAAGCGTTCATGGTGATCGCGGAAATAAAAGTAGGAAATTGTAAATTTCACAATTTTGAAGGGAGACGACATGAACATTGAAATGGTTGAATTTTAATGAATGGTTGCCGAATGAATACAGAAAATGTAAAAAAAAAGTATAAAAAAACGCACACACAACACCAAAGTGTTTGCTTCCCTCAAAATGTTAACAATTAAGTCTCACTACTAAACTAGGCGAATTGGGATTTTCTATCAACTTGTGTGACTTTGATAAATCTTTTAAACATGGCTGCTGCTATATTGCATGCTGAGAGCCTACTTTCCAAGTATTGATGACAATTAATAAAAATATTATTGAGACCGTCGAAAATAATGGAACAAAATAGCACAAATTATTTAGAAAACCTTCTTCGAGCTGAATGCACCTATATTTAGGGGGACAATTGTCAACTTCTACTTATAAGCAAATTATTTTATTTTCGAACAAAAAGGATGTTAATTCCCTGAATCAGTTTTATCAAGGGTCATTTTAGTTCATACCAAAAGTTGACTAGTTACTATACTATATACTAAAAGAAAATTCGAAATTAAGTTTCTTTCGCCACATCAGCAATTATTTCCTATATTATCCATATTTTCCTTTGATCTCATTACAACTTGTCCCTGCAAAAAAAAGAATAAGCCGACAGCAGCATTTAATGTTCGTCAATGAGGGTCAGATAGCCTTGTGCAAAAAGATTTGATGAATCAGATTAATGTGTGGTGCAAAACAGAGAAAAACATTATTAAAGGTATGTACATTGCTTGAAACGGTTAACTAAGTTATCATTGACAAACTTATCTAAATATATGGTTAACATTTAGACATAATCCCTAAACACTACACCATTATCACAAAAATCTAAACCCTAATCTATGAATGGTGAACCCTAACATAATCAGTATAAACCTACCCCAAACAATTAACCTTACTCTTTGACGGTAAACCTGAACTTAAAACAAGGGTCGTTAACAAGTACATCGTTAACGAAGTTATCCGTAAGAGTAAAATAATAGATTACCATAAAAGATATACATATAAAAAGTAACTCTAAACAATAAACCTTTAAACCATTACCATTGAAATCTAAAACCTAATTATAATGTATGATTGCTGAACCCTAACATCATCATAAACCCTAACCATATCTCCATATCACTAACCAATAACTTCAACGGTAAATCCTAACTTAAAAAATGGTGGATAACTCGTCTATGTTAACATAGTTATCAGAAGGTGTTAAAAGATGAACAAATAAAACTTTACCTTGCATCGTTAACAATAAAACTCTAATTTTTGTTAACTAATCTGAAATCGTTAACTATATTCGTGACATAAACTTTTACTCGATAACATACTATCATATGTTTTAATTTAGCTAAAGAGTAGTATGGAGATAGGGTTAGGGTTTATGATGACGTACATTGTTAACGAAGTTATCCGTAAGAGTAAAATAATAGATTATTGTACAAGCTATACATATAAAAAGTAAACCTAAACAGTAAACCCTAAACCCTAAACAATAAACCCTAAACAATAAACCTTAAAACCATTACTATTGAAATCGAAAACCTAATGTATGATTGTTGAACCCTAACATCATTATAAACCCTTACTCTATCCCAATACCACTAACCAATTACTTCAACGTAAACCCTAACTTCAAAAATGGTGGATAACTCGTTTATGTCAACATAGTTATCAGAAGGTGTTAAAAGATGAACAAATAAAACTTTACCTTGCATCGTTAACAATAAAACTCTAATTTTTGTTAACTAATCTAAAATCGTTAACTATATTCGCAACATAAACTTTACTCCATAACATACATATTATATGTCTTGATTTAGCTAAAGAGTACAAAATGCTACTAATCCATTGGTGAATATGCCCAAAAACAAAACCTAATTCAAAGGGAAACCCTAAGGAATAGACCCACGTATATCTATTCTTCTTCGTTGATTGCTAGACGGAAAGATACAAAAGAGTCATTAACCAAGTTAACAATGTGAAAATTGGTTTGAAGCAATTTATCCTAAGAAGAAGTTTCACTCAACAAATAAATATTTTATTTTTCTCTAATCTGTCATTTTCGTTTTTTAATCTTATTTGTTTTGAAAACCACAAACAGTTGCATATGAGAGAGACAAATCTGTTCACTGATACATTTCCTTACTTTTGGCCTCACTCCATAAGAGAGAAGATAGATGAAAAGATAATAACAATAGGGGTTTAATGGGAAAGGTTCAATGAACAGATGCATTTGAATAGTGCTAGATCAGAGGAGTTAATTTCCATAATATTATTTGGTATCTACTCATAATACTCTTTTATCAATTATTGACAAGATATTCCAAAATCATTGTATTGAACATTCAACATTTTAACAAAATAGTTATATACCATTTTACTTTCTTTTATTTTCAATATATTATTTTACTTTACCATTCTTTATTTTACTCTGTTATATTGATTTTTTTGGTATGTTTCGTTCATCTAGCACTAACCGTATTTATAAAGAAACTAATCTAATATATTAACTATGATTGCTTAAAGCTGTTGTTGATGCAAAGGAATGGATGAATAACAAAAGAGAAGTTGGGCCTTTGAAGACGGCTATAACGTGCAACACGGATGAATGCGTGGATATATATATATATATATATATATATATAGTGGCGGACTCACGTACAAAAAAGGAGGTCATGTGACATCCCATATTTCTTTATAAAACTAGTATTGTAAAAGAAATTTGAGGAAAACTCAGTGGCATTGTTGGTAAATGCAGCAGACTGAACCCCCATAACCCGAGATCAAATCCCCCAGTATATGACTGTTTTGATATTTCTTTTTTTTATTTGATAAATTGACCCAGGTTAAAAAAAATCCTGGGTCCACCACTATATATATATATATATATATATATAAGTCTCAGGCTTTTTCAGGTTTAGCAACAGAGAGTTATCACTACCAACCACGCTTTCGTACATGTGATCAAGAGAATTGTCTTTCAATTGGATTCCCTGAAGGCTATTCGAGCGATCACCGTGGGCTGTAGCTCTTCCGAGCTCTTTGGAGTCATCTCTGATATCTCTTCTAACCTTTTATGATTTATCTCTTCGATTATATATGTGTCTCTTAAATTTATGCCTAGAGTTAGAGAGGCAAAATGTTGTGGCAGATCATTTGGCTAAGCAGGCACTGCAATTGTATTCCATAAACTCTGTTTGAGTTCTAATTTAAAACATCCATGCTTCAAAAAACAACAACAATTAACTGTGATTGTTTCGTTTTCCGGCATCCATTTTACATGTAAGTTTATTACAACGTCAACACATTACTTGTTGTCATAGTATACTAATCGAAACTTAATCATGAATATTCACTAATAATATTTTGTTATAAATAGCAATTTAAATATATGAATATTTTCAGTCAAAAACAATATTCTTACAAACTAGCAAAAAAAAACACGTTGCAACTTGCATGTGGATACATTACTGATGACAAAAAAAAAGTATATATATGCATTACTAGATATAAAAATATCTAATTAAACGTGGCCAGCGAGTTCCTTTTAATGTTTCACATTCATTTTTTATATAAGGAATGATTTGTGTAGTTGTTTTGCATGGTCTACCTTAAATTAATATAAAACGCACTTCTACATGAAATATATATATATATAGAGAGAGAGAGAGATAATATACGTAATTGGTTACATGATTAAGACTAATTGATTAATTAAGTCTCTTAACAGACACGTCGCTTAAACTAAGGGACGAGTGAGGACCACGAGGCTGAATAAATAGATATCATATTCTAGGGTCTTGGGTGGTGGGGAATTGGGGATATAGTGTGCGTGTGTGTTGGGGGGGGAGAGAATGAGATATGTAGATGAATAACTATTAAACAACAAGGTTCTATATTTTTTTTCTGTTATTAAGGTGTAAATAAAAGAAAAACTAAATTTAAACCAATAAAAAACTAAATTATTTCATGATACAATGGTCCCGTATTTAATGGTGAAGGTTTGCGTGATGGCATTGGGTACGACTCAGAATAGTCAACAATGAGGAACCTAACTCATTAATTATCCATTTACCAAATTGTTAGGTATATATGTAATTTTTTTTAGAACGAGGATCCATGTTCGTCACAAGTATTTGTTACATACGTATATGTAATGTATAGGTAAATACTCTATAATTCCAAGTGAACGAATTTCGACGTTTTCATTCCATCCAAAGTAACATTTCAAGTTTTGAGTACTATTTACTATTACCAGACCAGAAAAAAATATTGGAAGAAGACAAATACATAAACAAAATGATATGAGATGTTCGTTTGACTAATTTAGTTATTGCTAGTATAATAAAAATATTTGAAGCTCTTAAGAAAATATTATTTGTTCATATATATACATGTAGTTGCACTGCCTCACGATTCTACACGTGAAATGGCCACAAACCTCGCATTACCTAATAGGGTATTTTTTTATATATGATTTTAAAAGGGTATAATTTTCGACTAACTTATTAAACGATAATGCATGTGATATTCTTTTTGTAAATATATGGTTGTTACTTGTAACTTTCAGACGTAGGAATACTTACCGGAACCTTACCTTAAATTTGATATTAGTAAGAAAAAAGTACTAAAAATTTTGCGTTCTCAAACTTCTCATTATATATAATTTAGTCTATTTCTGTTGTTATATTAAAATTAGGGCATAAGTTCTTAAGCACCAGACAACAATTTTAGGTATAAGATATATTTAAAAAAAAAACAATCTAAATTGAGCCAAGAAGACGAGCTAAGAAGAAGTTATTTATGCTGTAGAAAAGTGTGATATATCATCGTTGGTTTTGGACATAGCCACATAGATAAACTAAAGGCCGCCTATTTTCTATATAGATATACACACACATACTAGAAAGAGAGAGAGTATTAAATGCAACATTTGATATAAATGTGAAGATACCGTGAAGGTCATGACGATGAAGTCTCTCACTACATAAAAAAAAGTTATTGACTACGCGTTTTATTCTTCACCAAACACTCCAATCTCTATAACTTTCAGTTTATATATATGCAGATGATCTAAATAACCACGACCGAGAGAAAAGAAAAAAAGGTTCATAGGTTTCCACCATAGAAAGAAAGATGGAGGTCAAACCAAAAGCCTTAGAGTCAAGGAAGATAGCAACAAAAGCTGAGGATGAGAAGAAGACAAAGGAAGATGATGTGATGAATAGTAATGGTCAAGAGATTACTATTATTAAAGGGCATCTCAAAATCATAGAGGGTTTAAGACAAGCTAAGACAAGAGATGATCAATCTTCAACGAACTCGAGATCATCATCATCTTCATATATGATGAATATCAAGATGGGAAATTGTGAGTTTTTCATTTCAGGTTTTGTTCACTAATTTAACTTTTTATATAATATATAAGGTCATCAATCATTGTCTTTGTTATCCTGTTTCTTTTCTTCATGAAACCTGTTTTTTTATATTGTATGGAAAGTAATAATTTTTATTCCTATCATTTTATTTTCATGAACTTTTATTATGAACTAATTAATACATGATTACTTGTCTCATATTGAGTTCATAATTATTTACTTTCTACAGATAAAAATTCCATTCAAAGATCAGAAATCACAAATTATATGGAAACTCAACACAAGAATAAGACGGTGATGGAGAATCTGAAACAAAATGAAGAAGAGATTAATGTTCATAAGATGAAGAACAAGAAGGTATGGGATTGCGAAAGCACACTCTATGACTCGTTCGAGCTCAACTCGTTCAATCGACAACTCGACTCAGCCATCTCCTCCTCCGCTAGATCGATGTCCATGCCCCACCTTCCTCCTCTTCCACAGCCAGAAACGACGTCGTCGTCGAAAAAGAAACAATCATCGAACAAGATCTCAGGCACTCTACAGAAACTCATAAAGTCAATCTTCAGACAGAAAAAGTCAAACACTCCCTTTAAGGCATGTCACGGCGTTGATATGGACAAATACTACGTCGTTTTTGACAAGACCGGATCGCTCACGACGATTCCCGAGTCGGGCGAGTCGACAGAACTGGTTGGCTCAGCGATCAACTCGCTTGATAGAAAAACTATGTCCGACCGATTCCCGCCGAGTCGACTCGTTGGTATATCTTGTTCCTGATCTCATTATTATATATGGTATAGTTTTATTGTTGGATTTAAGTCGTCAAGATTAGTGTTATAAATTATGAGTTTAGAAAATCTCTAAATATGTTTAGAAATATGAATTATATTATATTATAGTCTTCTAATAATAATATACTACATCCGTTTTCTATTCATTACAAGAAAAATATCATTTTACAACGGTTGAAATGATCGTTATTTCGTCGTAATAGGACTATTACGACGGACTACCGACGATTTCCAAATCGTCGTAAACTCATCGTCGTAATTGACAAATCGTCGTAAAATCGTCGTATAATATACGACGATTTCGTTTCGTCGTGAGGAAAACAAAATCGTCGTAAATGCGTCGTACAGTTTACGATGAATTTACATCGAGTTGCGTCGACTTGGTCTTCGCCTGAACCGTCGTTAAGTGGTCGTTAATGGTCGACGTAAGATCGTCGTAAATGTACGACGCATAAATCGTCGTAAATCAATCGTAAAGTATTTAATCATTTCGTCGTAAAATCGTCGTAAAGCACGGACGTATAATCGTCGTATTTGTCGTCGTACATTTTAGTCGTAAATTCGTCGTAATATTTACGACGAATGTACGACGGTTTTAATAAAGCTATTACGACGATTATACGACGTTTAATATAATTGAAAATTAAAAAAAAATTAATTCGAATTAAAATTTAAATTAAAAAAAATAATTACAATTTAAAATTTATTAAAATTTGAAATTAAAATTAATTGTAATTTACATAAAAACCCTACAGATCTAAATCTAAATCTAAATCGTCGATCCCGTCGATCCCGTCACCGGCCTCCTCCCCATCGTCCTAGACGTGTTCCTTGTCGGGTCTTCGGTTTGATGCTTCCGCCGGCGCCTGATCTCCGGCTCTAGGAGGCTCAACCCCGAGAGATCGGAACATCTCCTCGTCCGTCTGCACCGGTGGTTGCGTCCTAGTGGATGACCCGGCGGCAGACGATCCGACAACCCCATCAGCCCGCAGCTTGTCCAACTGCGCCATGAGTACCAGGTTGTCGGCTCCCATGATCTCGAAGAGACCGTAGAGATGGTCGATCCTCGTCTCGTACCGGGTCCGCATCTGGTCAATCTCCTGGCGGATAACCGGATCCGGGACCCGGACGTGACCAGTCGCCGTAGCTCTCGGGGTATCACGGATGGACCCCATCCCTAATACCCGCCCCTTTTTCTTTGGGGCAACCTACAAATATTTTAAAAACATTATGGTTAGAAATTTAATTTAAAACTAAAGTTACATTAATTAAATATAGTAATTAAATTTACCTCTTCGAAGATCTGGTCCATCTCCGCCACCGTCAGCGTCGGGATCGATTGGACCGAGCTACCTCCGGGAGACGTTTGACGCGCCTGCTGAGTCAGCTGCGTCTGTCGCTCCTCGATCGCCGCACAGGCGGCGTTGTAAATCTCCTCCGCCCGAGGATTCGTGAATTCGCCGTTACGCTTCTTATGCGTCTCGGCGAAAACCTTCGTCATCGGAGGAAGTTCTCCTCCGTTATCTTCGACCTATAAAATCAAAATGAAAAAATTAATTAGTATCGAGAAATAAGAGTTAATTATTTAAAAACAAAAAAATAGTAATTTAAATTTACTTACCATCATAAGCCGTCGTCCGGCAAAAGGAATCTGGCCGGAAGTGTGCGGGACGTTCTTCCGATTTCCCGCATCGTCAGTAGCGTTCCTGAAAAATATTTTCATTAGAATCTATTATAAGAAAAAAAATAATGTTAATATTATTGAAACTAACTACTTACCTAGATCCGGAACACTTGGCGGTCGTAGTCTGGTTGTGCGGATCCAACCAGTACTGGACAAGGCCCCGCCAGACGGTATTGGCCAAAGGCGCCGGCTTGGCCTTGTCGCCGTCAACCTCCCACTTCCGTTTCCAGTCGGAAACGGTGGTGAGGCGGAATTTGACCTTCTCCTTGAAGGCCGTCTCCACACGTCCGTGTGCGAATGTTTCCCAATGCCAGTTTTGCTAGGAAAAAAAAGAAGTTAGTAATTATTGTAAAAAGTTAAAAATTAAAATTATAATTAAACAAAATGGTAAATTACTTACCGCAAAACACTTGAACCAAGTGTCAAGTGTGGCCTGATCCAGCTTCTTCCAGCTGGTATGGGGTTGTACGAAAAACTCCTTGATGATATCCGCAACGTTACGACCGACTGCATTGTCGGTCGTAATCCTAGTCAAATGGAAAGAGAAAAAGTAAATTAATATCAAATATATAAGAATAAATATTAATTAATTTAAAAATATAGTAGGAAAAAAATTACGTACCAAAAGGTGCCCGGGGCTTGATCCGGGTCGAGTTTGTTCATGGTCTCACGACCGGGTTGCGCCAGAAGATCCTGTACCGTAAACTGGGTATACGGTATAGGCGGGATCGGATCAGCCTCAGGATCGGCCGGTGCGGGAGCCGCTGGTTCGGCTGGTGGTGGTGGAGGCGGTGCTGGCTGCGGAACAACGACCGGTTGGGAAACCGTCCGTTGTGTTCCCGAGGACTCCAGGATCGCTGATCCGGTCGCCAAGGTAGACGGGACCGTACCGTCAGAATCGACGAGCTGTCGGTAGTGAAATCTCTTAGCTCGAGGAGCCATATCGACAGAACCTACAAAATATTTATAAAATTAGTTACTAATTTTTCAAATATTTATTTAAATTTACCAAAATCCGGGCCTAACTAAATTCCGAAACCTAAATCTAAATTCCGAACCTAAATCTAAATTCCGAACCTAAATCTAAAATAATATGTAATGAAATTAATTTAACAAAAATACTTACAAATTAATTGGCTGGAGAGTAGGGAGAGAAGGGAGAGGTAGATTTCTAGAGAGATAGAGAGATTTCTAGAGAGAGAGAGGGAAGAGAGGAATGAGCGACGAAGGAGGAAATCTCGCGTCCCTTATATAGATTTTGTGATCGTCATAAAATCGTCGTAACATTACATGATGGGAGCATTTGACCGTTACGACGGTTTTATGACGACTAAACCCAAAACCATCGTAAAATCGCCGTAACGTCTAAACAATCATAACCTCGTACCTCGGATCAAGAGACTATCCGGTGCAAACGTTACGATGGTTCGTTGTAAAGACGTCGTAATGTTGAAACCCTATTTATTCAGGACTTAAAACCTAGACTTAGGGTTTAGAGTTTAGAAAAACCGTCGTAAAACCGTCGTAAAATCGAATTTTAGGGTTTTTAAAAAAGTCAAACAAACAAAGTTACAAATTACATAATAACAAAGATTCACTAAATACAATGCATGAAACTCAATCAGATTCATCTTCCTCTATTACTTCATCACCATCACCGTCGTCTTCTTCGGCCAAATCGTCATCATCGGTTTCAGCAAACTCATCATCACCTTCTTCTTCTGTATCATCGGGAAGATCTTCAACTTGCCTGTTCCGAGGGTCTATTAAGAAAATCTCCTCATCAACATCTGGTTCAGACAGATCTACGCAAGTGTCCTGTTGAAGTGGAACATCCTCAACCCCTACTATCTTGCCCCTCGGAGCCACTTTAACTACTGCTAACCATGAAATTCCTGTTGATCGAACTCGAGGGTATGGCAGAAACGTTACCTGTTCTGCTTGAGAAACTAATATAAATGGCTCAAACCTGTTGTACCGTCGTGATTTGTTCACGTCAACAACTCCAAACTTGTTTAGACGTACCCCTCGTCCAATAGTTGGATCAAACCAATCACATTTGAAGAGAACAGTTTTCAGCCTTAACAATCTAGGATACTCTACTTCAATTATTTCTTGCACAACTCCATAAAAATCGATTTTACCCCTCACGCAAACTCCATAGTTAGTTGTCGCCCGCTTTGCACTGTGACGGTATGTGTGAAAAACATAGCCCCGAGTGAAAGACATTGAGGCTGTAGTTATTTTAGCCATCGGACCTAGTAGTAACTCATGGAACCATGTTGGAAATTCATCCGGATCATTCGGGTCCACCTAATATGAAAAAAATTCCGCTTTTATTTCTTCATTTCGATATATAGCAAATTAAAATAGTCTTTTAATTAAAATTTTAAATGTACTTGTCCTTTTAACCACTGGGCATAGTGTTGATCTTTACGGTCATTGATTTCAGTTTCAGAAACCCCAGATATGCATTCTTTAACCTCATCAACAAATGTGCTGAGAAAAACAACAAATAGTTATTAATACTGACAACTTTAAAAAAGATATTATTAATTAAATTAAAAGGTACCTTTCATACGATGACAACTCTTCACAATTTAACAGGATATACGTATGTGCACTGTGATAATCTTTTTCATTGGATCACCAAACATCTTTTAGTTTTCCATTAAGACGTCCAATCGGCGAGAATATGTCAGGTACACCTTCAACGGCATATGTATGGCCAACTCCTCCATCATCATATCGACGAGTAGCTCTTTTGCGTGTTCGTACTTTCGGTGCAAAATAGTATGAAGTAAAGTGTGAAGTCTCTTGCGTCAAGCTTCCCGCCATAATTGAGCCTTCCACTTTAGCTAGGTTTTTGGCTTTACCTTTAAGATGCTTCATGAAACGCTCGAACGGATACATCTACCTGTACTGAACGGGTCCACCGAGCTCTGCTTCGTGTGGGAGATGAACAGGAAGATGTTCCATAACATCAAAAAATGATGGTGGGAAGATCTTTTCCAAATTGCACAACAAGATTGGAATATTCAATGCCAGTTGTGATATTACATCAACTGATAATGTTCGTGTACTAAGATCCCGAAAGAAAGCACCAATGCCTCCAATAGCTTCATGGATGTTTTTGGGCAAGAGTTCAGGAAATGCAAATGGAAATAATCGTTGCATAAACACATGGCAGTCATGGCTTTTCATCCCAGCAAACTTTACCCCCTTTTCAACAGATTTGGAAAGATTAGAGACATACCCATCAGGAAATTTAACGTCAGAAGAAACCCATCTGAACAATGCTGACTTTTGATCTGCACTCAACCGAAATACAGGAACTGGTGCTTTCCCGTTTCTCAGTAGATGCAACTCACTTCTGTTGCATAAATCAGGCAAGTCCAATCTTGACTTTACCATTGTCTTTTGTTCTTCCCGCTACATTCATAACTGTATGCATGATGTTATCAAAAAAGTTTTTTTCAATGTGCATGACATCAAGATTGTGTCTGAGCAGATGATCTTTCCAATAAGGTAGTTGCCAAAAGATACTTTTTTGTGCCAATTATGATGAACTCCATAACCTTCAGGCATATTTGCAGGAGTGTGCCAGTTTCCCCCACGAGTTACTGTTTCTTCTGCCCTTCAATGATCGATTTGCGCCTGTATATCAGCTCCTGTTAAATTAACGGGTGGAGGGACATGTACACTTTTGTTCTTCATAAATAACCTTTTGTTCCTCCGATATGGATGGTTATCCGGTAAAACCTCCGGTGACAATCAAACCAACAAGTTTTTCTACAATGTTTTAGCTGAAACGCATCAGTTCGATGAAGACAATAAGGACAAGATAGCCTCCCATGTGTAGTCTATCCTGATAGCATACCATAAGCGGGGAAATCGCTCATTGTTCACATTAGCACAGCCCGCATAGTAAAATTTTTCCTCGTAGAACAGTCATATGTACAAACGTCAGTATACCATAACTGATTCAGCTCATGTATGAGTGGCTGAAGAAATACATCGAGAGCTCGCTTCGGATGATTTGGACCTGGAACCAAAATACTTAGGAAAAGAAATTCCCTTTGCATGCACAAATCTGGAGGAAGGTTATAAGGAGTTAGGATTACTGGCCATAATGAATATTGTCTACCAGACATAGCAAATGGACTAAAACCATCAGTGCACAGACCAAGATAGACATTCCGTTTGAACTTAGCAAAATCTGGGTATACCATATTGAAGTGTTTCCATGCCTTTGCATCTGATGGATGAACAACTTCTCCATCTACTTGTGTATGTTGTGCATGCCATCTCATTGATGCAGCTGTCCTTTCAGATTGATAAAGCCGTTTTAACCTATCAGTTATAGGGAGATACCACATACGTTGGTACTGTATCCTTTTACGCCCACCAGTTTGCGGCCTGTATCTTGGTTTTTGGCAAAATCGACATTCCTCCAGCTGATCATCATCTTTCCAAAAAATCATACAATTGTCAACACATACATCTATCATCTCAGAAGGTAGACCAAGACTAAAAATCAACTTCTGAATTTCATAGTATGTTCCCGCTGCCAAGTTATCCTCCGGTAGATACTCCTTCAGAAGATCAGCCCAATCATCCATGCAAACCTCAGCCAGGTTATGATCTGTTTTAATTGACATCATCCTAGCTGCCAACGATAATTTAGACAAGCCTTCTCTACATCCTTCGTAGATTGGCTGATTAGCATTGTCTAACAAATCATATCATCGTTTGGCATCTACATTAGGTTCCTCAACAGCATTACCCGTATGCGTTTCATGAAATGCATCAGTCACCATTTCGTGCATCCTATCATGATCTACACTTTGGTCATATTGATACTGATTAGGCTGATGACCATAATTCGATTCATCAATATCAACATGACTTTGATAATAACTACTACTACCAGCATTCCCAGTATTACTGCCATATCCTTCTCCATGTAGATACCAAACAAAATATTGCGGCATAAATCCTCTATTTAATAAATGCGTCCACACGGTTTTGGTTAGTGTATACCTCGTATTCTTGCATTTCAAACAATGACAAAACATCTTCCCACTATCTTTCGTTCTCTCCATATTTGTAGCCTGATACATAAATATTTCTAACCCGTTCTTGAACTCTTCTGTCAACGCCCCATCTGAATCTTTACGCATATACATCCAACTTCTTAGCTCGTATATTGACATCTTGAAAATAAACTCACAATACTATCTCTTTTTATTGATTAGACAATAAAGGAGATGGTCTCTTGTGTCACGTCTAGCCACGTGAATAAAGTAAATTAACTTTATAATATTATTACTTCTTTTTTTTCAAAGTAATATAACTCTTAATTCGGGTTTCCGGCAATAGACAACCCAATATATAAAGATTTACAACACTATACTAAAATTTAAGAGACCTACAATGGGTCTCCAAGATGAAGATGCTCTTATGTTTGAATGATGATGTGTTGTGGTTGAATGAAGGAATGAAGATCTATTTATAGGAAAATTTTGGGCTTTACAACGCTTTTACGACGACTTTTTACGACGGTTTTACATTCAACAATAATATTACGACGAGTTTACGACGATTTTGCGATAAAATTTTCCATCTACAATTGTTAGGTAAACATGTTTTAAATGTTTTTCACCTAACTCATTTTTTGACGTAAAATCGTCGTAATATGTACATCGAAATGTAGTCGTCGTATATTCGTCGTACTTTTGCGACGAATTTACGACGGTTTTACATTTACTAGAAAATCTCTCGTTATCGATGTATAATCGTCGTAATTCGTCGTAAATTGTACGATTTTTTTATACGACGGTTTTTAAATTAGACGTTAGATTGTCATAAAATCGTTGTAAATTTGCGACGATTTAAAAACCGTCGTAATGGACCGTTGGAAAACGATTGTTTTCTTGTAGTGTTCACTTTTTTCTTGTTGTTATTTAATTAGTTGTATTAAATTGAAAACACTTTCTCATCAGAAAGTAGAAACAAAATAGAAAACAATTTCCTGTTTTGGTTTGTAAAATTATCGTGGAGCAGAACAGAACAAGCCTTGCGGAGAAGGATTAGTATCTATCTATTCAAGAACAAGCCCCTGTTTTGCCTTGGGCTAAGAAATCAAATGGATTTTTATCTTTCTTTGGTCAACAGTAAAGAAAGGTAATATAAGCAATAAGTAATGTATGATTGAGCTGAAATTTTCGACATCTCTATGGTGTTGTCAAGGTTCAAAGCTGATGGTCACATGAGCCAATCTCTGGACAAAGCTGCAATTTATGGTTTCTACATTGACATGTTGAGTTTCCTGGGATCCCTACAGATTGTATGACTCTGCGCTACCATGAATGCGAGACAAAGCCTCTCATATTTTTCTTCCAAATCTTTTGTAAGAGGTACATGTCAGCCTGGGCTTTCGGGTATCCGGTTCGGTTCCGGGTAGGAACCGAACGGTTCCGGGTATTTCGGTTCTTAAGGTTTGGGATCCAAATAGGAACTGAATTAAATTCGGTTCGGTTCTGGTTCGGTACCTATCGGTTCCGGATCGGTTCGGGTATTGAAGGATAAGAACCGAAAAAAACCGAAAAATTTCGGTTCTCAAAAAATTATTCGGGTATTCCATACCCGAAATCACAAAAAATAACCGAAATCTTAAAAAAAAAACCGAAATCTAAAAAGAAATAAACCAAAATCAAAACTTTTTCTTTTCAACTGACCAAAAAAATGAAATCCGAATAAGAAATCCCTAAATCGATTCATTAACAAAGAAGAAACGGAAACAGACTCATTAACAGCGCAAAAGTTAGCACCCAGACATGGACTCATTAACAAAGTAGAAGTGGAAACAGAAAACCCCAATCGATTTTATATATAAAAATCCTAAATTGATTTTCAAAGTAAGACTCTCTATCAGTCAAGACTAATTTGTAGTGAAAAACGAAAAAGAGAGAGAGAGAGAAAATGAAGTCAATTTCAAATATAAACAGAGAGAAACAGAAAACCCCAAATTTCAGATTTGAAAACCATAAACTATATTTCTATGAAAAGGAGATGGAGAAGAAGCCTGCGAAAACAAGTGAGAGTTATTTCTATTTTTTTTTAATTTTGTGTATATGGTGGATAATTGGACCACAATGAGAATTGGAAAAAAAAATTAATGAGTTCCTTATTATATGTATAAGCCCAAACGTCATAAAAATATAAAAGCCCAAGATCTACTTATTAAAAAAACAAAAATAACATGTCATTTTAGTCTTGGAAAAATGTAACAGCGATTAATTAAAGGGCCTCAATTGAAGAGCCCATTAAAACAATTTCAAAGCCTCTCTCTCTCCATCACCGTCCCCTTTCTCCTTTCTCTCACAGTCTATTTCGTAACAATGGCGAAGAGTTCATCTCCAGTTATCCAAAGAAACATATTATTTCGGATATCCGGTTCGATATTTCGGTTCTCGGGTAATATCCGGAACCAAACCGATATTCATGGATCCAAGATTTAAGATCCAATGGGTATTTATGCAAGAACCGAAACCGAATCGAACCAGTGATTTCGGGTCGGTTCCGGTTCGGTTTTTCGGTTCCAATTTTTTATGCCCAGGGCTAGGTACATGTATATAACCAACTGTCTTTAACATTAAAAAACCAGAAATCAAACCGAAAAAGAGAAATACACGTACCAGTTTTCCTTATTAATCTTTAACTTAAAAAAAAAAAATCATGTGTTGCACAAAAAAAAAAAATCATGCAGAGAAAAGAAAAAGTTGAAAAGGTTTAGAACTTCATCCACAGAGCAAGCTTTGTTAGGTTTGCATCAACCATTTGTTGGCCGTTTGGAGAGCATCGTCTACTCTGCCGGCCTTGACATACACGTCCATCATTGCTCTGTATGTGAAGACATCAACGAACAAAAATCTATGAGACATCCCCTGCTCGCAACACCTTGTAATCACATTATTATAGTCTTTAAAGAAGACCCCACTTTTGCTTTCACCTTGTAGAATGTCTCGATTCCTTCCCTAAAACGACCCTCCTTGAAACACTCTCTCACCATTATATAAATGGTCTCAAAGAAGGTGGCACGACACTACACTTAAGCTTTCATGTCTCTACTTGGCTTGCAAGTTAGTAATCACATTGTGTTACCAGTGATTGTGTTTGTTAGTCACTTTGTCTTTACCAACAACTTTTTTGTTCTCTAGGCAAAGGAACCTTTTGTTTCTTCTAATTGACTTTGCAAACTGCCGTTGAGTTAGTTTTGACGATGTCATTGTTCTCATTCTTTTGTAGACTGATTTTTTTTTTGTTTGTTTATCAACCCAAGTTACATGTTAGCATTTGTGTACTTGGAACTCTATGAAAGGCTGCACATAGCAGGATATCCGATTTCAAACACCAGTTTAAACTAAGTGTATGGCATATCCAAAAAATGTTTTTACCTGAATTATAAAAACGATTGATGAATCCAAAACCAGCTCAGATATTTGAAAGAATATAAGTAAAAGAAAAAAAATTGTTCGTGCACTAGTTTTGACAGTAATTCTTCTTGTTTGTTGAGAAACGGTAGTTTACATGATTATGAAACATATATTTTCATGAAACATTTTTTTTTATAAATTTTTATCTTTTATTATATATTAAACAAAATTAACCAAAACAAGAAAACTAAATTATATATAGTAAATTATGCAATAACAATCAACAACCCAAATAAAAAATAAAATAAAGAATAACAATTTTAAGATAAAAAATTAATAAATAAAATTGGGTTATATCATGTGTGTAATTAGGCAAACACCGCATCAGAAAAAGAAAGATTTCAAGAAAAACAAAATTTATAATCTATTATCAAATAAGACTTAATTTTGAAAAATGTTAAATTCACTTTTCATGTGTTGTTTTTTAATATATGACACAAATATCTGCATATATAATAATTTTTTTTCGAAAGTTATGTATATATTAACTTTATAATCCTATTTTGATATTACTGAAATTATTTGTTCGAAAGAAAAAAATGAGTTACATAACTTGTATTGACATACAAAGCCTATATAGATTTATAATTGGTTATGTGGAATAAAAAAAACAAATTGGAATGAGAAAACAATTTAATTATAGGGTCAAAATAAAATTTGAATTCATCATGGACAACAAATTTAATAACATTACAAACTACAAAGAAAATTTAATATTATGGGTGTCATATGAACCACATCTCTTGGTCCGCATCTGGTATGAAATATGTTTTGAGGGACTCAAGATGGAATTGGTTCGAGCGTGGTTTGTTCCTGCCATTCACTGTTTAAGTGTGACTACCACAACGTGACTACCACAACGTGACCATCCCATTGCATATTTGTGCAATATTTTTTAAAAACAGTTTTTTTTTTGAGAAACGGTAGTTTACATGATATTCATGAAATACATATTTTTCTATAAAAGTTTCATCTCTTTTTATTATAATAAAAAATAACCAAAACAAAAAACGAAAAATAATTATAATAAATTATGCAATAATAATCAAAAATAAATAAAATAAAGAATAAACATTTTAAAATAAAAAGTTAATAAAAATATATTTAAGTTAAATCATGATGTGTGTTATTACTAGGCTTACCCAAAAGTTGCTAGCCAACTCTGTTAGCGATCAAATTCAATTTTTATGTTTTGTCTTACTTAATATATAGTGTATATATCTGCATATGTAATAATTTGTTTTTTCGAAAATTTTATGTATTAACTTTGGAATCCTATTTTGATAGCAGCCTGAAGATAGTTACTCCTAGGTTCCTTTAAGTATAAGATATCAACTAGATGAAGACTACCATGGACTTCAACTGAATGAAGACTACTTCAACTGGATGAAGACTACCTCGTTCGAAGGTGACTAGAAGCTAAAGTCTTCGCTAACCCTGAAATCGAACCCGTACCAGCTCCCACTCTCGCCTTTCCAACCGCTCGAAGACCCCGTCATCTCCGTCAAGTTGTGTCTGATGAAAACTGAACCGAAAGCTTAGACCCTGTCATGTTCGTGCCACACTTTGACAGTTTGACCTTAGACCCCGTCATGTTCGTGCCACACTTTTATCATTGCATACTCCTCTGCTTTTATGAGTTCCGGTTTTGACAAATACAATTGGATTTTCAAACAAAAAGCATTAAACTCACGAAAGTAAATAACAGTCGGCCATAAGCCCATAACAAGTATATTAGAGATGTGGACACTGTTTCTCTTATTAAACGCATAATATTTGATTGCTATGATTGAGGAACTTTCTATAACTACTCTAGACCAGAAGGTTCTCTCTTGTGTATAAATACATATAATTTCTCTTATTATGATTGTGACTATAAAATATATATATGAACAAGTATTGTATACAAGTATCGTATATTACAAGCTATTCTACAATCAGAACAAGATTTTGAACTTGAAGACCGGTTTCATTCGGTTAACGACTTTGGACTTTTGTCAAAGAAGGTTTAATCGCTTATCTTAGACTAAATGCGGCAAACCAAAATCAAATCAAACCATTGTAAGATAAGATTAGCTGTAGAGAAAAATATGTTACAAGATCGAATGCTTAGACCCTTTAGCTCATCATTGTAAAGAGTCATCGATTTAAAAGTAAGTTCGAAAATATTTGTGGGACTTAAGAGGGAACTGGTTCAAGTGTGGCCTGTTCGTGCCATTCACCGTTTAAGTTTGACTGCCACAATCTGACCACACCATCGCTTCCGGTGCTAGCTAAAGTCATGCCACTCATGTCCCATTCCATCTGCCAAACCTGACCAGGAAACATCAACGCAGTGGTAATTTAGTTATATCTTTAACGAATGAAAGGAAGGATCGAAGATAGAAAAGCCTTAACGACCCTATAGTTTCATTCTCAGGAAATCCAACAAGCACCGAATCAGAAGAGAGATGAAAGGTAAAAGAGGTTTGGAATCTGATACCTCGCCTTGATGACCAGAAAGCGAGGCGGCCATCTTTACAGGAAGCCTTCCTTCAAGGTCAGGAGCTAGACCGACTTGCCATATTCCTATCCCTTTATGAGTTGCAACAGCAACAACCTCGTATGGTCTGTGTATCAAAAGAGGATTAGTCTGAGCATCCACTATATATTAATTGAGAGAGGACCAAGATTTTTTGTAGTTACCGGCCAATATTTGGGGCCCATGACACAGCATAGACTGGATCTCCTTTGTCTTCTGGTGAGGCTAATTCTGCTACTGCCAACCATCTGTTATGAGCTTCGTCAAACTCCCAGATCTGCAACAAGTCTATCACGATTTTAGCCAACACACATATTATTAATGTCATCGTTTCCCAGGTCAAGAAAGAGAAATAATGTCTTAAAACATGCCTTGGAAGAATTAAGATGTGGAGAATCAGAGTTGAAGGCTAAAACAAAGCTGGGTTCTTGCTCTTCACTCCTCACTGGATTCCAAGAAACAGATGCAGATAAGCTTGAAGGTTTAGCCAGAGTCGATAGAGAATCGATAACATTCTGAAACTCGGCCTGCACAGAATGTTAGAGAAATAAGACAGTATATATACAAGAAATCAATAGAAACAAATCAATTTTAAACGTATGATAGAAGACTCAAGAATAAGCAAAAGAATGTATGAATTAGCAACCTGAAGTTGCCAATTCTTTAACTCCAATGGATTCAACAGCTCAAAAACCCTAAGGAACCCATCAGAATATGCTGCAACCTGGCCAAAATAGTCAAAGAATCAATAATGGTAACTGGTCGCCTGTTAAGAGATCGAAACCAAACCTGTCTAAGAATAAAACAGAAGCTCTACCATCTTCAGACTCTTTCTCGAAACCCCAAACTGAACATCGAGCACTTGGCTAGACTGGTTCTTGATACTCTTGCAAGATTTCCACTCAAGAGCATGTGTGTCTGACAAAACAGAGTAAATTCTCAATCAATAGATTCTTAACGAAACAACTAAAACACTCAAAATGAGATTCAACGTTATCAAACAACAAACCACTGAATCTGTAAAACATGACGATTTTGCCAAAGAGCCTAGAGTTACCTTGAGACAATGGATTCTTAACGAAACAACTAAAACACTAAAAATGACATTCAACGTTATCAAACAACAATCTACACATGTATATATCTGTTAAACACTTAGCAACGAAGATCTTTTGAAAAAGAGCATAGAGTTACCTTCAGACACCTCCTCCCAAATCGATAAGCTCCCGTCTTCGCAAATGCAGGCTACTGCATCGCCGTATTCCAAAGGCAGCCAGACGATCTTTGCAACACTCGATTCACTAACCCTAACTTTGGAAGTGCAAGTGAAAGAAGAAGAAGAAGAAGAGGAAACAGGACAGTCGTAGACGGAGAGGATTCCATCTAAGGATCCGGCGGCTAATCGGTGGCCGGAGTGATTCCAGGAGGAGCAGGTGGTGCCAGAATCTAGCGTCGCCATTGATTTCGCCATTTCTTCGTGCACAGTGACACAGAGAATCTTGGGTGGAGTAGCACAGAAATTAGGCCGATTATATTGGGCCTATTGTTCTTTTAATTGGCCCATTTGGTTTTCAAAAACTTAAAAATTTGATGAGATGAGCCCATGTGCATATTAGTATATACGCAATCGAAGATGTCAACTGGATTCATTGGGACACACACTGACACTGTTGTTGTGCTTTTGAATCAGTTTCGGTCATCCAAGATGTTCAACTTGGGTTCGTGAGCTTCTTGCTCCTGATCTCTCTCAAATTCAATCTGGTCAGTATCAAAGAAAGATTTGACCTTCTTTGTTTTTTGGCAGACAGAGAAATCAATTTTCTTTTTGAATTTACAAGTAATTGATGTTTCCTTTTGGGTTGATTTGTTACGAGAAAAACTGTAAACGTCGAATAAAACAAAGGAAAAGGATATCTTATTACAATGATTAAACGAGTCCACAAAGATTGAGAGAATTAATGTGGAGTCTCTCACCTCCCCTTACAACTTTTGATCAAAATATTCGATAAAGCAAATCCTAACCGAAACCTCCCATAAATAGAAAAAGCAATAACGATAGGTAGCAAGAGCACGTGATGTGTTTCCTGACGTGGCTCGTACTGTGAGTGATATCCTCTTGGTGAACTTCTAGAAGACAGGCCGAAATTCCCTCAGGCCCGTTGGGTTTTTCCTTTTCTCTGGTACTGATAGATGATAGGAGTGTGGGTTGACTCGTACGTAACATGATTCCTAGAAAAAGTTAAACGATTCTTAGAGTTTTATTTGTTTTGGAAGTTATGTAAGATTTTGGGTAAATGTGATTAATTGCAGGTTGATTTAAGAATGAAAGGGGATATTGAGAAACTATTTCTGATACTGAATTGAAATTTTCTCATGTTTGTATGATATTCTGAATCTTTGCTGCTAAATGCTGTACTAAGGTATTAAGCTATTAAGCACATCAAGATTACCATCTTGAAAAATCTTTGATCTGAGAGGTTTTTTTTTTTTTGGGCCTTGGACATCAAATCTGTTTTGTTTAAAGTCCATAAATCTTGAAAGTTATCTCATTTCTGACTGAGATCTTGAAGGTTTTGTCATTTCTTGTGGTTAGGTGGTCACAATCTTATTTGTTTTTTTTAAGATTCATTGTGCTGCTTTGTTTTGTTTTTGGTTTGTAAAATCAGTGTGACATCTCGAGCAGAACAAGGCTTGAGGATAAGGATTGAGGTCTATTCAGAACATCAAGCCCCTGTTTTGTAACAAGTAATTATGGAGATATGAAATCAGAGTTTAGTTAGAATTGGCACCGTTCAGATGGTACTCAGTCTTTGTTTTTGAATTATTGACAACAAGCCCCTGTTCTACATTAGCTAGAAAACCAAAGGGAATTTTTATCTTTCTTTAATCTAACGGTAAAGAACGAAAAGCATTATATATATACATCATATATATATATATATATGTATGATGAGCTGATCCAAATTCTTAATTTCTCAAGGTTCACAGCAACATGATCCGAATTCTGAACTACTTTCCAATGGGAGACAAAGCCCTTTTTGACTAGAATGTTTTTCTTCCAATTTTTTTGTAAGAGGTATGAAAATCTTATTAAGCCTCTAAGATTTTTTTTTAAAAACACCAGATATCAAACCCAAAAAAAGAGAAATACAAGTACCAGTTTTTCTTATTAAAATCTTTAACTTAAAAAAAAAAAATCATGCAGATGAAGAGAAAAGTTTGAAAAGGTTTGTTTAGAACTTCATCCAGAGAGCAAGCTTTGTTAGGTTTGCAACGACCATTTTGTTGACCATTTGGAGAGCATCGTCTACTCTGCCGGCCTTGAGATACGCGTCCATCATTGCTCTGTATGTGAAGACATCGACGGACCAAAATCTATGGGACGACAATTCAGCAAAGAGACACTCTGCCTCGGACAACAACCCCTGCTCGCAACACCTTGTAATCACATTATTATAGTCAAGAGCTTTTAAAGAAGACCCCACTTTTGCTTTCACCTGGTAGAAAGTCTCGATTCCTTCCCTGAAACGACCATCATTGAAACACTCTCTCACCATTATATCAATGGTTTCTGAAACCACTCCGCCCATAGTCTTCTTGTAGAAACCATCTACAATCCGGTGGAAGAGCTCCCAAGCTTCCTTTTTCTTACCGTAACTCAGGAAAAGCTGCAAGAGTGAGTTTATGCTATCCCCATAATTTTGGAACCTGTGGTCGCACAACAAAGACTGGTAGCAGCGCATAGCTTCCTCGTCATTCCCTTGCTTCAACCAGTGCTCAATGAAGACCACCCTTGGATACGCTCCTTCGTTTCTAGTGCAATCATAGGCCCAATAACCATTGTACTCAAACTCCTCCAAGAGTTGATTCGCCATGTCTAGATTACCTAGATTCAAGAAGCCGCGGATCAGGTTGCTGCAAGCCAGCGGCACAGGGCCTTGCCTCACTAAACAGAGTGCTTCCTCGAATCTCCCGGCGTAGACCAAAGCTTTGGTCAAGTGAGAGTAGATGGGACTTAGACCCGGATGCGGCTGCAAGGCACGGAAGAATACAAGAGCATCATCCACGCGACCGAGCTCACAAATTGCTTTAACGACGTGGTTGGGGGACTTGTTCACTGATCTACTCTTGCGCTCGTTGAAAAAGTGATGGAACAGATCCAAAGCGTCTCTGTATCTTTTCGCCTCGCACATGGCGCCAATGATACTGTCGCAGGTTTTAATGGTGAATTCGCAGTTGATTCTGCTGCTATATGCCAAGCGCGCATACTCAGCCGCCGTGTCTAGGTCTCTCAGGCGAATTAGAAGCTCGACCGTCCAGGATAGCTGCTGAGGACAACGATCTGCGTTGGACATCATCAAGTCCGGCCGTGAGGATGAGCCGGAGAGGAGATCTCTCGGAATGGGGAAGCTGTACGAGACGGCGGCGGAGTAAAAGCGACGGTTAAAACGGCAGCAGCGGAGAGACATGCCGGCAAAGAAGATAGACATCCCGAAACTCTCAACCGAAAAATAAAAATCTCTCTTTTTTTTTTTTTTTTTCCTTTTCTTTCTTAAGGGTACAGACAGACAGCGGCTGGAAAAAAAAACTATTTATGTATCCTTAGCGATTGGTAAACCCTAGAAAGCTTAGCCATGTCTTTTTTACTCTTCAGCCGCATCCGAACCCAAAACTTGTGCTTCCGGTTTCTGAGGCGTCACATCACATCCTCCTTCTCCGCAGTGCCATACCCACTTGGAAGAAGAGATCCTGATTCTCTCCCACTCTCACTTACTCAAAAGCTTGATCCCGGAGAAATCCACCTTATCGACGACCGCCCGATTTCCTTACGTTACAGAGTCGAGGCACTTGTGGAGCTGTCCAACTTAGACGACGCCGCCCGTATCTCTCGCTTCGTTGTATTCGACAGATTCCGCAACGACGGCGCCATTGTGCCTTGCAACGCCATCATCGACGCTATGTGCCGCTCCAAACAGTACGAGGATGCCATAGCACTCTTCCATTACTTTTTCAACAAGTCTAACATAGTCCCCAACACCTTCTCCTTCAACCTCATCATCAAAGCTCACTGTGATCAAGGCCACGTCGACGACGCCCTTGAGATTTACCGCCACTTTACAGCCTTTTCTTCTCCCGACAGCGACACGCACAGGCTGCTGGCTCAAGGGCTTATTCAGTCCGGGAGGATTGATGAAGCCGAGTTTTTAGCCACGTCTTTGTCTGTTGTTGATTGGAAGGTCCACAACGTTCTGATTCGCGGCTTCTTGGATCTTGGAAACTACGACAGGGCTCATCAGCTCTTTGCCCAAGTTAAGGATGCAGACGGGATTGCCTTTGTGAGTTGCACCTTCTTGGACTACTGGTTTGAGCAAGGGAACGAAGATGATGAAGAAAAAGCTATGCGTTACTTACCTGGTAAGGTTGTTGAATCAGTGTCTGGCAATAAGCTTGTGGAAATTTTGTTCAAGCATGGTCAGGCAGATTTTGGTTGGGCATATTTCAAGGGCATGTTAGAAGAAAGAATCTTTGATTCAGAGACCATCAACATAGGGGTCAACGAGTATTTCAAGCACGGCCAGTTTTGTGAGGCTCTCGAGACCTTTAAAATGTGCCCTCCTGAAATCATGCGTGGATCCTATAGCAACATCATCGCCAGGTTCTGCGAACGTGGAATGTCCTCCGAGGCAGAGTCTCTACTTGCGGAAATCACCTCATCACCAGAGGTTGCCATATTTAGAGCACTGATCGATGCTTACGTTAGGGCAGGAAGAGTGGATGATTCTTTCCGTATCTTCAACAAGATGATTGCTGCATGCCTACGCAACGTTGCTATCCATCATGCCCCTTGAAACCCCCCGCCCTATATTCTTACTACTCTTTACTTTTATCTATTACTTACTCACTATTTGTGTTTCTTTTCCAACGGTTAGTATCTATTCTTTAATGTGTTTCCATAACCTGGCTTGTGCAAGTAGCTTTTGAATTGTCTATAACCATTTGAGTATAGGCTTTGGTTATGGTCTAAGTAAAGACACATCTCTATTTTTGTTTTTGTTTTTTTTTTGTTCAAGACACACATCTATCAGTTGTGTAGCCTTTTCCCATACTATTTGCGGCTTGTATTTATGCTTCTTCCCCACGTACGTTTGGTTCTTGTTATTATTATTTTTTCTTGGTAACAAAGTGAAACCTCTCTCACTAATTCGTGGTTTATTTTAGATCATTGGCCTAAGGAAGTCTACGGAGAAGAAAACTTTCTCCTCTTGGAAGATGAAGAATAAGACTATACGGAGTAGACGAAAGCTCTTTTTCTTTTGGTTCTGGATGTTAAAACTAAATATGCAACATTGCACGTGAGAACATTAGCACATATTTTACATGCTCTCACGAGTAGAAACAGATATCGATAAACATTTTATTTTTATTATAGTGAAATCCCGACGAGTGTTGTATACATAACTCCATCCGGTAAAAATTGTATTTCTTTTCTTGTAATCCCGGGTATATTAAACCGGGCGGTCCGATGATGTTTTAGGTAATTTTTTTTTCCTTTTAAAAGTTCAAATGATATAAGACCAAAAATTCAAAAAAAAAAAGAAGAAACAAAAACCTAAGGGTTCCTTTTTTTTATCATATGTTCAACCCACAAAGAAAAACTTACCGTATACCAGAAGCAATCTCAACTGAGAAGGAGCAATTCCGAAATACGTAATCTTTCCCTATATTTATTTGGTTAAGTAAACAAACTAACCTAATTACATAGTTATTTGGATCGACTTGGTTTATAGGCTTAAAGCTCACAAACTGGCCCGGTGCTTTAATAAGGCATAAGCTCCTTTTGATGGATTTTGGGTCGAATCGAACCGGACTTAGAATTAGACTGGTTTAGGATTTCATGCGTTGCTGTTTTTGAATGTGAAAGATTTGTTTAATTATATCTTTAGTGAGCCCTTGATTTATGACTTAGGTTTCTTGGATTAGATGCAATCATCAGTTTCATCTCGAAACACACTAACTAAGACATTTGCTATAGCTTCGCATCTAAACAGCTACAATTGAGGTTATAGATATGGGAAAGGGAATCATTACTAATCAAATCCTTGCCTATTCGTTTTTGTTTGCTCATCTAGCATTTGTATCCAAATGTTCCATCATAATATGCTCTAAACATTTATAGAGATTAATGATTTTGTTTACGTTTAGTTATAATTTTATTTACGTAAGCTATAGAGATTAAAGAACTTATACTCATTTTTTTGTCTTCATTCGTTATTTGATTTGTGCATTGATATGCGTTTCGTTTCTGCCAATTTATATGTTTTATCGAGTTGGATTCCTTTATTTTTGGATAAATCATTTATAATTATTTCTACTTTGATTACATTTTTTCAATGGTTTTGTAACATATAGGGATTTCAACTCTTGAATTATACATGCCAGTCCGTAAAATATTAGTAGTTCTATGTATTTTATGATACTTTATGAAATTTAAATAGGAAAAAAAAAACATACTTCATCTCTGTCTCAAATGCTTCAATTCCACATTTTTGTCTTTCTATTTAACTAAATTACCCTTTCTTAAAAAATACTCCATCTCTTCAAATAGATTGTTATTTAATTAAGAAAATACCAAAAATTAAAGTTTCAAATATACATATTCAATACTCAATAGTCGTCTAATCTGAATCGAAATGATTAAGATAAATACTTCCTTTTTATCAATGTATTTACATTTTTACTTGGGTGAACTTTCACATTTTTTAAGTGTGATTTCTTTTATTAAGTGTTTAAACCAATTATAGTTTTGAAATTCAAAACTGTACCACAAACCCTAATCCTTTCGCGAGTGGCTCATAGATTGCAAAATCCTATGGTGCGGTTAGGTATGGCTCGACGAAGCGTTGGGGAACGTCAAGCCGAAGCCAATCTGGTTCGATTTATCTCTCTCTCTCTCTCTCTCTCTCTCTCTCTCTCTCTCTCTCTCTCTCTCTCTCTCTCTCTCTCTCTCTCTCTCTCTCTCTCTCTCCCATAGTCACATGGCTCTGCTTATGCTCGTTTCATAGGAAATTGGCCTTTTGATTTTATCGTTTCCTTGTTTCTCTTTTGTTCCTACACTTGAAATTTGGGACTTTCCTGAACCTCTGTGAAAATCTGAAACAGAGACAGGATTGAATCTGAGTTCCTTGTTTAACAATTTAACAACACTTGTTGAATTGTCTCGTCCCTCGTTTGTCTCTTCAGGACTTAACGTTTCTGGGAAAGGCAATCGTGGTCTCTCTATGTACAGAGCCGGAAGGTTCGCTCTTTTATGTAGAAAGATTTGGTTTTTGCGCTTGAGTTGGACGATTGCTTTGATTGGTTTATATATATGTTGTGTGATGAATGTTTGTGTCTTGTGAATAGATCTGTTGAAGATTTAGATTCGTCTCCTCCATGCATGGCTGAGATTTTCCGGTGCTTGGGTAAAGTAGCACGAGCTGCTTTATCTGCAATAGCAAGGCATCTTCGTCTAAGAAGCGAGTAGGATGGTTATGATGCGTTAATCTCTGGTTTTGCTGCTACTGCTACTTCTACTACAGTATTACTTCTTTCCTTTTTGTATTAACTCGTAGAAATGGTGATCTGTTTTGTAGTGTTTTTAACCATATGCTCGACGACTTTCCACTAGCTCCGAATGAGGTTTCCTCCTCTGTGCTATTGGCTTCCTATGCTCATGCATCGATCCAAAATGGAAAGCCTACCTCTGGAGGTGGGAATCTATCCACTAATATTGAAATTGAGAAGGGTTTGTTGACACTGTTCTGCTCAGATGGCACTGGCATTCAGGTCACCTTTCTATGAACTTTCTTTGTCTTGAAGGATCAATATATGCTTTCATTATAGTAAGGAACTTGAAGGATACATAGATGCTTTCGACGACAGAATAGTTTCTCAAGAATACTTTCATATGAGTCTGACATGATCAGCTGAAATTCAATATTTGCTCGGAAATACGTTTCAGTATGTATAAGTACCTTTGGTTTTTTTCTTTTCCTTTCTGAATTTTTTTCTATCCTTAGGTGTGTGACCCTAATGGTCGTTGGTACGCAGCAGATATTGGATGTGGGATTGGTGATATCTTACTCATTACTGGCAAAGCGCTTAGTCATGCTACTGCAGGTCTCCGTCCAGCTGCCTCTTATAGAGCTACCACTGATTATTTGTCTGGCAGTGACTCTCGCGGAAGGTATGTTTATAAAAGATAGTAAGTTTTTCCATAAAAAAAATTTGTGACACGATTGAATGCTTACATGTTTAGCTGAATTGCCGAACTTTTCACTTGCAGAGCATCACTAGCATTTAGGCTTATGCCGAAAAGCAATGCTATATTAGATTGTTCCCCAATAGAAGCAGCTGGCCATGTAATTCCACAAAGCTATGTGCCAGTATCTGTCAGTCAGTTTATGGATAACCTCTTGGCCGAGAATGACACTCCAGTTAGTCCGCCTGTGAAAACCAATGTAAGCTCATCCTTTCTTACAACAGTGGAGCTAATAGTATAGATTGTAAAAGTACATCTAAACGTACAAAACTTTGATATCTGTGGAGTTCTGTGCCTAGAGTACCCAAATCTGTCTTTTACCTTGACAGTGTTGGAGAAGAAATGTATATTATTGAGGAAACGATTTGAAAATTCATATGTCCTGCGTATTCTTTCAGATCATGCACCTTTGTCTTTTATAAAATCTTGATCTAGATTTTAATGAGCCGATGTGCAACGTACAGTACTTTAATTGAAGGATCACCTTTCATTTGGATATTTCTTACGACTGGCACTACCTCAATAGTATAATGACATAAGTTTCTATCTTTAATGTTAACTGCTCAGAGCACAAGGTCTTATGTCAAGAGATCTTCTTATGAATTGTGGATGTCAGGTTTCACGGGATGATGTATGCAAAGAACCTTCCTTGAGAAGTGTTCTCTCGGATCCAATTTCGTGAGTACCAATTTTCCCTTACATATTGTTATGGTTTTATTGGATGAATGCTTAGACTACGTTAATCTGATCAAGGAAAAAGTACTCAGCATTCTAATTCGCCTGTTTGCAAACTCTTTGATGTTTAGCGGTGCTTTTCTTGAAGATGCAATTGTTGTCTCCTGTGGACATTCATTTGGTGGTCTCATGCTTAGAAGAGTCCTTGAAATGGTTGGTGTGTTTCCTTCGATTCTATTAATATTCTAGTTCCTTGTGATGGTTCTTCCTACATACCCAAGAATATTTCGTAACCACAGTTATCTTCTGCACAGTCTAGATGTACGCTCTGCAATGCAGAAATCGAGACTGGGTCTCTGGTCCCTAACCATGGTAATTCCCATACAGCTTCACTCTCTTATTATCCGTGATCCTCAACAAATGAATCATCCAACAGTGTAGTCTTTTGGCCTTTGACATAGACAAACAATCTTAACTTTTATCTTTATGTCAATCGCATAGCTCTTAGAGCTGCCGCTTCAGCTATTAAGCAACAGGATGATAAAAGATTGTTCCACAACGCAGCCATGCGGAGGCGTAGAAAAGAAATGAGTGATCAAATGGATGTGGTAAGATGATCTGACACTTCTCTATATTGTTAATTGCATTGTATGCCTTTAGTGGTTTCCGGTTACTTACTACTATCTCCAAACTTATCAGTCTGCATCATCATCTATTTTCTTTTTGCCTTATCTTATATGGTGGATGGACCTCTGATAAAAGTCACGACTCGATCCCAAATTTCTCCCTGCAGGAAAATGGAGATCCAGCTACGGATGATGGATTGCAGCGGGTGGTGCATTATCCATTTGCTGTAAACGAGAAAGTGCTTATCAAGGTAGGACATTACTTTTCATATTTTGGCTTCCGGCACATTCGTCCAGCATGAACTTTGGGTTCAAGATGGCTGTACAGTGAAATGTTGCTGAAAGCATTGATAGCTTGAACTTCCGGCACATTCGTCCAGCTATGAAATACATTTCACCATTTGCAGGGAAACCGGAGAACCCCGGAAAAGTTTGTTGGAAAAGAAGCAATTGTGACATCTCAATGTCTCAATGGCTGGTAAATAAATTATAAGAGCTGAACCAAAACTATGCTTTGTAGGTTTAAGAGAGTTATAGAGTTAATTTCTCCAACTAATCCGTTCTCATTTGTTTTCCGATATTAGGTATCTATTGAAGATTGTCGAAAGTGGAGACAACGTGCGGCTGCAATAACGTTCCCTAAAAAAGATGACAAACGATGACAGAGGAGGAGGAGGCCAACATGTTCAACCGGTTGAGAGCAATAGCTTGTAGAATGCAAGTATATTATACCATTTTCTTTTCTTTTTTTATTCTGCATTTCTAGAAAGAAAAGAAAAGTTAATGTAAGTTTGGGGTTTGAGATTCTGCATAAATTTAAAATCGTTTGGTTAGAGTCTTAGAGAAGTAGTGGAAGACTGTTGGAAGCTATTTATATTAGATTTTGTACAGAAAAGTGTTAGATTATAAAGAAGGGGGAAAAAAAAAGTTGTTGCTCTTGTTAATGTGCTTGCAATGTTTGGAAATTATAAACGGAGGAAGAGTGATTCCAAATAGGAATTCCTCAATTTTACTAAATAAGTTAGCCCAAAAATTTTCATTTTTTAACATGTAAAATTTAGCCAGAAGTAAGAGCCATAAACATTTATCTTTGTAAGTTAGAAACAAAAATTAAATCTAGCGTCATAACCTAAAACAAAAATCATAATTCCTCAAGCCAGATGAAGACACTTTGAGGTGAAACACGTTGTAATATTTAAAAATTAATTCGACAAATAATAACAATAAAAAATTTCAATTATTTTGTATTGGAATAATTTGAAAGATAACTTATTTATGATTTAAAAATTGAAAAATACACATCTTTTTTTCCCTTTTTGAAAACCTTTTTTACATGTGATAAAATAGTTTATACTTTTTATTAATTATTTTTTTAAAATTCAAACATAATATTATTATTTATATTAATTTGAAATATATATATATATATATATATATATATGTATTTACTCCAAATCTAAAGTTTTTGGAATTCAATTTTGCTTTCATAGCAAATTTGCATGCGTATATCTTTATTTTGAAATTTGGATCTAATCCAAAAACAGTTGCATTTAGATTAAGGGTAACAATATAATATCTCATATATATCAAACTAGTATTATGCCTCCGGTTATGCAGGGGATTTTATTTATTTCAATATAAAATATTAATTAAAAATGTAAAATAATAATTATTTTTTAAATATAAAATATTTTATTAAGTCTAATTAAAAAGTTAAAGATATTTAAAAAATGGTGGTGATAAGAATGAGAAAGTTAGAGAAAGTGGGATAAAATGAAAAAAATAAAATATTCTTTTTTATTGTTTTTATTCTTAAAAATAAGAAAAATATACTATTTTTTTATAAAAAAGGATACGTGTCAAATACAGAATTGTCAAATGATTTCTGTTTTATACTATAATTTTTAAACACATGTCAAACACAGAATTGTCAAATGATTTTTATTTTATAGTATAAAAGATACCTTAAAATCCTCCATGGTTACTATAAAAAAACAGATGAAGAATCAAAACAGATACCTTTTTTGATTTGGGTCAGAAAATTTGGGTCAGATACCTTTTTTTTTTTTTTTTGTTTTGGGTCAGATACCTCTTCCTAGTAATACTATGTATCTATCTCTTCTCTTAATCTATTTGGGATCTATCGAGATTTATCTCATGGTCTTGTGTTAGAATTTGGTAAAAAGCTAAAGATGTGATCAAGCTTGTGAATCCCTCTACTCATGTTTGTGTTTGTTGAATTCATCATCAAATGCGGAATCATTCTTTACGAAAATCCATCCATTTAGCTCCAAAATGCTCAAATATCTCCAATTAAGCTCCAAACGTACCTAGGACCTGTAAAGACTCCAAAAAACTCGAAAAACACTAAAAAGAATATATAAATAAGACCTATATCATGGTCAAAAACCATAAAAACCATGATATATCAACTCCCCCAGACTTAGCATTTGCTTGCCCTCAAGCAAACATAATACTAAATAAGAGAAAGAGGTTTGAAAACATGGAGACTCAACTTTTCATTGAAACATCGCTATTGACCAATCACCCTGCAACTCAAACACTGCTTCATCATTCCAAATCGAACCACCATGTACTTCTCCGCAGACATTCACAGCTTCCCAAATTAAATCCAAAATTCCACAACATTATCCATAAACCCTCATCGCTGGATCTCACTGATGATTCCAATGCCAAGAACCTTCCAGATTCTTTCCCGTACTATACTCAAACAAATCAGCCATACACACTTTGGTACTTTTCTTTCTACCAGACTTATTCCTTTCGCACACTCATCCACCTTTTTTTTTAATGGCATATACTTGATAAGGGTAAAGCTGCGAGTACTGATGGTGTTTGCCATCGAGTCCCCGAGTTGTCCCCTTATCAAAGGTTTTCAGCGAATAGTGGGGTCATAGGAAACTTTCCTACCCCTCGCTTCCTTCCTTTGTGTGATCATTCCAACTTAGAAATGAAATAATGGGATCCTTGGAAATTTTCCTAACCCTTCACTTTTAAGCGAAAATCATTTCAATCTTTTCGCCTTTTTCTTTCTTCTTCTTCTTCACCTTTTAGCTCGTCACAGAGAGAGAAACACCAACATTAAATTTCACACAGGCTTTCATTTGTTAAGTATGAACGAGGAATCAAACTCTATGAACATCAGTCACATCAATGAGGTAAAAGAAAGAGTTCAGAAATTAGCTCAGGTTAGTGGATTCTATTGGAAACATGAACGCCTCTAGTCAACTGGTCAGCCTTAGGATTTTTCATTAGTCGGATCTAGACTGAATCTGCAGCAGTGGTCACTTAGATGAAAGGTCAGCACAATAATTCCAAGAAAAGCATAATAATTCCAACAGGTTTTGACTCAAAAACAATTTGACACGACTGACTCTAAGAAAAACGAACACAATGTCAGCAATTACCTCCCCCATACTTAAACAACACTGTCCCCAGTGTTATCGAGTCCAAAGTTGGTAAAAGACGGGAATGGAACTGAAAAGATTTATGGTTACGGCGAGAATACCTTACCTCTCGGTTGGTGTCGACCAACACACAGCATAGTGTCGAGTGACACCATGCTTAGGTCGACACAAGTACTCATGTTGAGCGACATTGAGTAAAATCTGTTAGGCGGTGTCGAGCGACACCATTGGTAGTGTCGAGCGACACCAATGCTCTGCGTCTCGACACTGGTCTGTTTCTTGTTCCGGTTTAGAATCGTCACTGGTCCGGTTCCGGTTTGCCAACATTTTTTTTTTTTTTTTTTTTTTTACTGGTGTCGACCGACACTGATGGTGGTGTCGCTCGACACCTACCACTTCGTATCTGCCACACCTAAAACACAAAAAACGAAAAACAAAAACGAAAAAGAAGAAGACAACTTATGTACAGACTTACCAGTGGGTTGCCTCCCACTAAGCGCTTGTTTTAAGTCATTAGCTTGACTTGGCGGATGTACTATGCATCTGGTGGATCAGACAGTGGTAACAAATGTCTCTGTGAAAGTCATCTCATCCATGGTGGTGTGTAAGCGTTGTGCGCATGAGGTCGTCCAAGGAATGCAGGAATAGCACTATGGTGAGATCTGTGTTTGGACCGCTTTAACCTATTTCCTGCAATATCGTCAATCGAAAAACCAAGTGCTCTACGATAATCTCGTAGCTTGCGTCGTGAGACAGAGTCTGCATTTTTCAAATCAGTTTTGATGGTATCACAAGAATTAGGATTAGGCTCAAGAGGTGCGTACCTTTGCTTTGGTGGAGATGAATGGAGTGAAATGTTTTGAGCTTCCTGATCAACAGCAGTCACTGGTTCTGTAGACGCTTTTATCAACTCAGGTTGATCTCTCACCTTCTCAGCATCAAACACGTTCTGATTCCCAACTATCACTTCAGGTATTACACTGACTTGGAATGTCTGACCATCTATGGTTGGATCCTTCAGCTTCTCCATCTTGAAGCTCATGATTGTATCTCCCAGGTGGAGATCAAGGTTACCATGCTTGACATCAATCACCGCTCCAGCTGTAGCTAAAAATGATCTTCCCAGGATAAGAGGATCTTTGGGTTCCTCTCCATATTCCAGAACCACGAAATCTGTAGGAATTATGCAATCACCAACTTTAATTGGAACATCCTCCAAGACACCTTTTGGGATTCTTTTAGATCGATCTGCTAGGATTAGAGAGATCTTAGTTGGCTTGAAGTCAGTCATCCCAAGGTTAACAGCTAAAGAGTATGGCATGAGGTTGACACTCGAACCAAGATCACACAGCGATCTCTTGAACCTCTCTGAGAATATAGAGCAGTCCAAAACAAAGCTTCATGGGTCCGAGAGCTTCTCTGGAATCTTATTCTGAATCACAGAACTGAACTGTTCAGAAATCATCATCACTCCTTCCTCATGAGTCAGATTATTAGTCACCATCCTCTTCACATAACGCCTAAGAAAAGGATTAATCTTCACAGCATCAACCAAAGGAATCTCAATCACAAGTTTCTCCATCAAAGCCTTGCATCTAGCATCGTCTAGCTCCTGATCGAACTTCCTAGGACTCCTTGGGTAAGGAATCTTAGGTTTGTAGACTCTTTCCTCAGCTGGTTTTGGCTTCTTGTGATGATTTCTTCAGATGGCGGCTGGTGTCGATCAACACTAGTGGTGGTGTTGCTCGACACTAGTGGTGATTTCGGACCCTCAAGTTGGTGTCGACCGACACTAGTGGTGGTGTCGCTCGACACTGCTAATTTCTTTTTCGTCTCAACATCTTGGTGTCGCTTAACCCCCGTGTTGGTGTCGTCCGTCACTGCTGGTGTCTTCTTCATATCATCGACTTGGTGTCGCGCGACACTAGTGGTAGTGTCGCTCGACACCGGCTCTGCAGTTTCAAAATCTTCTGCAGATTCCTCCAGTTTCACGACTTCATCCTCAGGATCACCCTTTTTAAGCTCAGGAGTAAGCTTTTTACCACTTCTCAACGTGATGGCACTGCAGTAATGTCTTGGGTTGGTGTCAGTCTTCCCAGGAAGAAATCCCTCTTGCCTTTTTACAGCCTCAGCAGTTTGAGCAACTTGAATGTCCAGCTTCTTAACATGAGTGTTCAGAGCTTCGAATTTTCCATTCAGATCCAGATACAGAGCATCAATCTTCCCATTGAAATCCACAGTAATCTTTTGTTGACCTTTCAGGATCTGTTCCAGCATAGATTTCATCTCATTATCTGGAGTTTGAGGAGGAGGAGAACCATAATTCCTTGAAAAACTGTTGTTGGAGTAGGATGTCTGGTACCGAGGTTTGGAATTATAACCAGAAGAGTTCTGATTACCTGTGAAGGTACTCCTCTGATTATTTCCACTGTAATTCATGTTTCCTGGCTAAGTACCAAATCTCTGACCCTGAAATCCAGCTCCATTGATGAAGTTAACATCCTCTTCCTGAAGTGCTTCATCTGGTCCAAAATTCTTAACCTCTGCAGCGTATCGGACGAACTTCTTACCCACTAGAAGGCTATGCACAGAGTCAAGCTTAGCCTTCACCTCAGCAATCTGCAATCCATCCATGTTTCCACCCTGCTTCTTTCGTTGATAGTCTGCATTCTTGGTACTATTGCTAGATGCCAAGTTCTTAATAAGCATAACAGCGTCTTCAGGGTATCTGGTGTTGAAGTTCCCATTGCTTGCAGCATCAAGAGCCATTTGATACCTCCAATCAACACCTCTGAAGAAAATACCCAACAGCTGTACATCGCTGAAGCCATGATGGGGGCAGTCTCGCTGGTACGATTTGAATCGCACCCAAGAAGCCTTGAACGCTTCAGTTGGTTCTTGAGAGAATGTCGAAATTTTTGTTCTCAATTCCTCAGACCTAGCATCATCGAAGAAGTTGTGCAGGAAGGCATTCCTGGTCTCCTCCCAAGTAGTGAGTGATCCTGGCTCCAACTGCTTCAACCAGTTAGCTGCTTCTCCAGCAAGAGAATAAGGAAATAGCTTGCAGAGGAGGAAATCATTGGACACTCCATTGTATTTGATGCTGGTGACCAAGTCCTTAAACTTCTCGATGTGATCCATAGGGTGCTCATGAGAATTGCCATGAAAGGGATGCTGACCCACAAGAGTATAGTACACAGGTTTGAGCTCAAAGTCATTCCTCTGAAACGCAGGAGCGCGAATCGCAGACCGATTTGCATAAAACTGCTCAGGCCTGTTGTAATCACCCAGCGTCCTGATGATGTTACCATGTCCATCAAGTCGCTGGCCTCTCTCATTGCACACATGACCCTCTTGGTCTCTCCAGACTCCAGCATCATCACGAACCAATGCCAATGCGTTCTCCATCTCTGCTAGTTTCTGAGACAAAGAGAAAGAACAATGTAAGTAACAAAATAAAAGTAAAATCAAACAAAAACGACTGGTGTCGCGCGACACCACTAAGGGTGTCGCTCGACACTAAGGAAAACTTAGTCGAAACTCAAGATCTTAAGTCTAATGGCGAAAATCAAGTCCCCGGCAACGGCGCCAAAACTTGATCTGCTCAAAGTTTAATCCCTAGAGCTACTCTGCAAGAGCACATATGTGCGGTTGTAGTATGTAGGGGTCGAACCACAGAGACGAGAGATTCACTCAATAGATCTAAAAGAATTGAATTACGCTAAGCAGAAATCACAGAATGGAAAACAACAGAACAATGAAAACGGTTGTAAATCGATTGGAAAATGATTAGGTCCAGGGTGTTTCTCAGGAAATCAGAGAATGCAGATAAATTAACTAGTCCGGATTCAGGTTTAAGTGCGGTTCTTGAACTCAAATCACGAAATTATAGTTAACCAACTTTCGTTGCGAGAATTATCTAAGTCTAAATCCTAGAATCCCAAATTTCTTTGCAAATCCTAAAGATATAGACTAGCCTTAAGTGCAGGTTTGATATGTTCAAAAAGTATCTAAACCAAATTTCTTTGCGGATAGCTACTTTGCTCACCCTAGGTTCTTTCAGATTATTCAATTACACTTTCGTGTCAATCAATTAACCTAAGATCTAAGTTCTAGGTGGCCAGTCCAGAATTAGCTTTAAGAACAACTTATGGTGAAGAACTAATCAGATTATGAACCCTAACTAATCAATTAATCTAACATTCAATGAAATCCTTTATGAGAACCCTAAACCTAACAAGCTAACTACTCAGACATGAATATTGAAGCAACAGACATGAATGAATAGTTTGCAAATAAGAAATCACTGAATAAATAACAGGGGTTCGAAATCTTCTCTCAAAACAAACAGAGTTCAGACTTGTCTCCCCCAAAAGCTCTCAAAAGTAAAGATGAACTAAGTTTTTCTCTCTAAAAGTCTAAAAATGAAAGGTTTCGATGAAGGAGGCAGAAAACCCTTCTTAAATCTAAAAACATGTTTTGGGCCTTTTTGTAAATATTAAAGACTTCAGGGCTTCACAGATTCTTCAGAAATTGGATAAAATCACGTTTTTCCTTTTGTGGTCCTCGGTGTCGAGCGACACCGATGGTAGTGTCGAGCGACACTCATGCACAGCTGAAATCATCCTTTACGAAAATCCATCCATTTAGCTCCAAAATGCTCAAATATTTCCAATTAAGCTCCAAACGTACCTAGGATCTGTAAAGACTCCAAAAGACTCGAAAAACACTAAAAATAATCTATAAATAAGACCTATATCATGGTCAAAAACCATAAAAACCATGATATATCACATACTTAACTAATTCAATATTTTTAGACAAAAAGTAAATATAATAAAACTTGAAAAATGTAACAGATCTTGTAAAAAACATACTAATATTTTTATGAAAATAATCAAACTTATTAATAATATAAACGTAAAACATGACCACATAAACTCTGAGTAATGAAATCCAAGCTTAAAAACAAAATGTAAAACAACCTTCGATAAAAAAAAATGTAAATTGGATAATTAGATATTTTATTTATAAATAAGTGTACTTAAAAAAAATAGTATAGAATAGATTTAAAATTTCATCTCATTCAAACTTTTCTTTTTCAAAATTCTCTGTTTGTATATTACATTCAAATCAATGTTTATCCTTCCAATTGACTCTAATATAAAATCAAATCTATCTTTGTGAGTTTCTAAAAAAAAATCACACATAAGAAAGATTTTCAAGCACAACAGCAAAGATTTTAGGGTGCCTATACAGATTTTCAAAAATGGACCAAATTTAATGTCCATAACTAAAATATATTACAAAATTTTGCTTAACTATACACAGCCAAAGCACAAAACCAATTTAAAAAACTAAAATGCTATAAAAAAACTTTATGGTTAACGTTTAGATTTAAAATGCCTATACAAATTTCAAAAAGGGAACCAAATTTAATGTCCATAACTAAAATGTATTACAAAATGTTATAACGAACGTTTGGTTCCATTGTTTAGATTTCATCTTCTGTACTTGGTTATCACTAAGATCTTGTTATTCTATAGCGTTTGATATCCATTGTTTCTGTGTGATTCCAGATGATGTTGGTGATCATATCGTTCACTCAAAGATTAAATATCACTTAGATCTTTTTATTATATATTGTTTGGTATCCATTATTTCTGTGTGATACCAGATGATGTTGGTGATCTTATCGTTCAGTCAAGCCTAAAAAAGGCTATCATTTCTCTGTATAGGTGTCCTCAGCCAGATTATCACAGTCTCAAAATCGATGGTTGATGCCAATGGAGCTCACCACAATTCTATTCCATGCCAAAGCATGTACGTTGCATGGATCCCCAGGAATTTGGGTGTTCAACAGGCAAACATACCGAGATCATAGACATACTATGAACTATGTCTCTACTATAAACTTTATAATTAAACATAGATACAGAGTGACGTATACTTAATAACCAAAACTAGTTACATATCCATCATCATCTGATTTTTTTCTAAAATATTTTCATTTCACGATAATCCAAACAAAGACTATCGTATATTTTCCTTTATTGTGATAACAATCCCTTATAGATCTTGATATACACAATCAAGTAAGACTAAACTCTCAATTTATTTTACTATTTTAACTCTTGCTGCAAATGGCACGATAATCCAAACACAAGTTTGTTATAAAAGGGATTATACAAATAACAGATGCCAAAAAATGTATTTTATAGACTTGAATCAATAATTAGTGTTTTATGTCCACTGTTCCTTTGTGGTTTTTGATTTTAATAGAGAAATTATAAACGATAAATGACATACAATGATTGATTTAATAGATTGACTAGTTAGTTTGTGGAATTAAAGGTTTTTCTTGCTTGATTGTCGCAATGTTAGCATAATGTTGTTATGTGTGACATTCACCACATATTGCATGATTATATTTTTCAACTATGACTTTGTGTTGAAATAATGAAGTTGATCATATAATATTGATTCATCTAAAAAGTTATTTTATATATTCAAGTGACTCTCATCAGAAATCCAAATCTATTTTTTTCATTCTAAAAAAAATGAGAAACTACACATAAGAAGGATTTGAAGTAGAAGACTTTGCTAGTTGTGTTGGAAAATAATATAAAACTAAGAAACACAAAAGCAAAAATTTTAATGTGGTATACAAAATTTCAAAAACCAAGCCGAATTTAATGCCCATATCTAAATTGTATTACAAATTTTTGCTTACCTTTGTACAACCAAAGCACAAAACCAATTTAAGGAACTAAAATTTTATGCAAAACTTTATGATTTTGTGATCACGAATACTACTGTGATATGATATGATGCTCTTGTTACTTCTTCCTGAGTTTAGTGATATTACTCCTTCATGAGTTTCGTTTGATATGATGCTCTTTCTGAGTTTCGTTTGATATGATACTGTGATCTAAGTGCGATATTCCTTTTAATTATGATTCTGTGATTATTGAGGTGTAGGAAACGCCATGTATAGTACCGAGCGATCGAATCACTGTGATATGATATGATATTAGGATCTTGTTACTTCTTCCTGAGTTTTGTTTGATATGATGCTTTTCCTGAGTTTCGTTTGATATTATTTCTTCACAGAGTTTTGTTTGATATGATTTTCTGATGCTGTTGTTTAATATGATGGCGTTTGATATGATACTGTTTTTTAGATGATTGTTTATTAGGATCTTGTTCAGTCCATGCTCTATCATGTTGCTGTGACAATGTTTTTTTAACAAAGAAGAATCATGAAAACATTTATTTAAAATGCTGAGCTTTTATTTTTTTGTAGCCATTGTTGGCGAGATCGTGACTGCATCTATCGTGCGATGGTTGAAAGCTGAGGAGGTCACCCTTCTACTTCTAGCAGCTGAATCTAATGCTATTGCAGTTTCAACACATGCCACAGCTTTTGGTACAATTATGATCATTGGTTAAACTTTATCAATAAACTGTAAATTCCTACACAATTGGTTCAATTTTGAAAGTAGAAGCTACAAACATTTATCTTTTTAAGCTAGCAAAACTAATTCTAGCGTCATTACTTAACACACAAGTGAACATAATCAAACTTGGAAAATTTGCTAACATAATCAAACAAAATTAAGTCTAGTTTGCATCCGGACAGACTTAATAACTAACTCAATATTTTAGGCAAAACCCAAACTTAATTTTTATATTTTTTTTCAACCAACCCAAACATAGTCCAAGGAAAATGTTATAGATTTGTAGGAAACGTACTAATATGTTTATGAAAATAATCAAACTTATTGATAAAATAAATATAAAACATGATCACTTAAACTCAAGAGTAATCAAATCCAAGTATAATAGCAAAATGTAAATTGGATTATTTAGTTATTTTACTTATAAATAAGTATATTTCTAAAAATAAAAAATATTGTAGTTTTAAAAATATATTCTCATTCAAACATATTTTTCCAAATTTCCTGATTTGTATATTACATTCAAATCGTTTTATCCTTCCATCTGACTTTGATAAAAAACCAAATCTATCTTTGTGAAGTTTTTAAGAAAGAAAAGAAAAATAACTCATGAGAAAGATCGTGAAGCACAAGACTTTGCTAGTTTTGTTGCAAAAAATAGTAACATAGCTAACCACAACAACAATATTTTAAAGTTCTATTCAAAATTTCAAAAACGGAACCGAACTTGATGTCCATGACTAAAATGTATTACAAATTTTTGCTTAACTTTGTACAACCAAAGCACAAAACCAAGTTAAAAAACTAAATGCTATACAAAACTTTAGGGATAGTGTAGGCTCTAAGCAGAATTACTACAAATGTGTATTAGGTCGATTAGCTTTTTCTGTTATTGCTAAGTTTCATTATTTTAAAACTTTCTTCTCTCTCAAGAAATTTTAACGTTTCAACTCTCATATTTACCTTTCTGTTTCTTAAAAACCTCTCAAGTTCATCAATGGCGGCAAAAGAACAAAGATTTAGACATTTGCTCGTCGATTTGGTCCAGCTCCTCGCCTTGGTTGCTATAATCTCGAGACAATATGCCTTAGAAATTATCGTAAGAGTTTTTCACATCAAATTTCTTTTGAGAATTCTTTTATAGTTTTATTGTAATTGACAATATTCTTTTATTGTTATTCTATAGTGTTTGATATTCATTATTTCTGTGTGATTCTAGATGATGTGGTAATCTTGTCGTTCAGTCAAATACTAGGTGGCTTTATCCAGATGAGATATGAAAAATTCTGCAACACGCAGATGGTACTAGCCTTACACCGTCGGTTCCAACACCTCTAAAAGACTCAATTGGCATTTTTATCTACCAAATTAAACGATATTATGATCATTGGTTAAAATTTATCAATAAATCTATTTTCAAAATTGAACCAATTGTGTAGGAATTTTATTTCATGTGATACATGTTTCTTTGATATGATACATGTAGGAAGCTGATACTGTGTGTATAGAATTTTTTTTTTATATGATATGTGTACTAGTGATATACATCTTCTTGAGTTCCTTTAATTAATGCTGTTTATTGATTATTTTTGTTACTTCTTCTTGACTTTTCACATTTTTTAGTCATCCATGGTGAGCTGATCACTGCATCTAGTGATAGATGGTTGAATGCTGAAGAAGTCACCTTTCTCTTTCTAACAGCATAAGCTAATGGTTTTCCCATATCAACACAAGAAGCTCCTTTTGGAACAAGAGGACAGTTTGTCTACATGTGCCAACAGTACAGGGACCGTGGACTTTTCTTTAAGAAAAACTTGTTTACATATATTTTTAGCTTTGTACAACCAAAGCAGAAAACCAATTTAAAGACCTAAAATGTTACGGAAAACTTTAGGGTTAACGTACAAAGCTTCTTGGCAAAATACTATATGTTAATTGTGTAGATTCTATTTTATGTTATAATTAAGAATTGTGTGATCATTCAATCAATTTTATAGCCTTTAGACAAATTATATATATATATATATATATATATCTTTTTTTAAAAACAATTTTGAAACAATTTCTCTCTTCGAATCAAATTCTCCTCTGAAACCTTAATTTTGTCTTAACAAAGGCAGCTCTCAATCCTTTTCCGCTTCCGAAAGAATTTAGGTCACTAAATGGATTATATGATGAGTGGGTATGTTGAGTTGTCCAATTATGGAAAAAGAGTTGGTGAGGTGTCTCAAGGAGAAGAGATACCCCTTCTACTTTATATATATATAGATGAATAAAATTTTGTAATTCTATTAAAGCACACATAATTGTTTTGGCATTTAACCTGGTTTGAATTTTGAAAATAAATTAACATTTTTAAAGATGATGAATATTATTTCTAATTAAGAATCGATCATTCTATAAGAAAACACAGAATAAAAGTACAATACTATACTATTTATCATAAATTTTAAAAGAGATTTTTTTTCTTACTAATTTCAAAACTATAAACCTTAAATTACATTTTAAATCAATTCGAAAGAAAAAGTTACATTTTAAAACTGTGATGAGTTTTAGACTCTTTTCTGAGTTGATATATTAAAACGGAATTTATAGATCGACGTAAACTGTAAAGCAAACTGAGTTGCATTTGTTTTTTTTTTTCGACTGAAATTATGGATTATATTAGGAAGAAGATACATAATCTGTATGTAATACATGGGAGAGAAAGTGAGGAATATATGCATGGTATTCATAACAAGTATTTGCTGGCATTGCCACTTTGGCAAGTAAATCGATCTGCAGGTTTGTTATGATCTCGTCGAGTCCATCTATATTGTACTTGATCAAACTTTGACCTCGAAAAGCTTGCCTCTCTGACCCAATTGAAATAATCAAAATGTAGTTTTGATCCTTCGACAAGTTCCCCCACACGTTGGTTATCTCCTTCAAAGATGACGTGTTTATAACCTCAGTCCAACATTGTTGCATTGCAATGATAAGGACCTGCAATTCGCTTTGCAGTGCTGATTTAGTGATGAAACCTTGCGCTTGTCCTGCTCCTAGATTGTGACCTTGATCATCACGCACAATCCAGCCTCCTGTGTTAGCTAATTCGGTTGAAACAAAAGAACCATCATAATTTCACTTGAGCCATCCATTACGTGGCCTGTTCCAAGATTGATCATGTGAAAAACTAGGACATATTGACCTCCGGGGCATCTGTCGCGCTAAATGAGTTTCTAGAAAAGAGTATGCTGAAGCATTCTGTCTTTCAATAGTGAGATTTGAACCCCATGTGATATTCTTTGATTGAAATAGAAGTATGTTTCGACTCTTCCATAGTCTCCAGAGTATCCAGCTGGATTACATAATCTCCTTTTCCTTTTGTTGTTGTTGTTTTTTGTGTTTTTATTGAGTTAACAAAATACAAACAGATTTTCATGTTGCTTAATTACATAAAAGATAATATCGTATTGAACACTTGCTCCTTTGTAGTTGTGATCTTGAGCATTGCATCCATCTTCGTGATGTTCTCTTTGTAATTCTGTATTTTTTTTAAGCCAAAAAAACTGTCTGACAACTGATTTTAACCTGTGAAATTGTTTAAAATATCAAGAAGAACAATAGATTTGTTCGACTGCCTTTTCATGATCACTTGGACGGATTTCGTCCATTGATGTTTCTGGTCAAGGAAGAGTACGTTATCAGTGAAGTGGTAATTATCAAGAAGATTCCTCAACATGGATTTTATGAAAAACTATATACAGTATAATGTATAGCGATCGAGAGGTAGTTAGAAACCATGCACATATTTATCTTGTGAAACATATAAATAAATAAAAATTAAGATAACCATAAATTTAAACACCGCACTGGACAAGGAAAATAGTTTTTTTTTTTTTGTGGCACATATTTGGACCCTAACATAAATGCCTATATATAGCGTAGGCAATTTAGAAGCCCTAATTTCTCTCTGAAGAAACACAAACAATGACGTATATCTCTGAGCTTTCGTGGGATTTGGTAGAGAAGATTCTCTCCAGGGTTCCCATAACTAGTATCGGAGCGGTGAGATCCACTTGCAAACTATGGAACGGCTTATCCAAATACCGGATTTTGTGTAGCGCAGAAGCAAGGCGGCATCAGTTTCTACGGTTCATGGTGAAGAATTATAAGCTTTGTTCATTGAGATTCGATCTCCATGGAATCCTCGACGATGAAGAATTTGTGGATCCATCTATAAAGGAGATCATCAGTGATTCATTTAATCAACTCAAGGTAACTAAAGTCTTTCATTGCGATGGCTTATTGTTATGTGTCACCAAAGAAAAGGACATAGAGACGGAGGAGGAAAGTACAAGCCTCGTGGTTTGGAACCCGTATTTGGGACAAACCAGGTGGATCCAACCTAGACATAACTACCACAGATTAGACAGTTATGCTCTCGGATACGACAGCAATAGTCGTAAACACAAAATCTTGCGGTTTTTGGATGATGAAGATGACTACAATCTCGGAAACCACCTCATTGTATACGAAATCTATGATTTTAGCTCTGATTCATGGAGGGTCATTGATATCAATCCGGACTGGGATATAATTTTCTTTCAACGCGGTGTGTCTCTTAAGGGCAATACTTATTTTTTTGCTAAAGAGAAATTTTTAGTACTAGGGGTAGGGATACCACCAGGAGAATTCCCAGAGCCTCATGATGACTTACTCTGTTTTGATTTTACAAGAGAGAGATTTGGACCGCCTCTGCCTCTGCCGTTTCACCACTATACTGACGATACCGGGGCCCTGTCTTCTCTTAGAGACGAGCAACTCGCAGCGTTATATCAGTGCTGGAGTATGCCTGAGGTGAATATTTGGGTGACAACTAAGATTGAGCCCAATGCAGTGTCGTGGGCCCCCTTTTTAAAAATTGACACAGAACCACTCACAGATTATGAATTTCAGTTTCACTTTAATGGTGCCAGTTTCTTCATTGACGAGGAGAAGAAAGTTGCTGTAGTTTTCCAATTAGACGACCAGTTAGAAGACCATTTAGACGAAACCTGCTACGACAATGCTTACCTCATTGGAGAGAATGGTTACTTTGAAAAGGTTGGTCTTGGAGAAGCTGCGAATCCCCTAGAATCTAACAACCTGGAAGAATATTGCCCACTTGTGTGCTCTTGCTCGTATGTTCCCAGTTTAGTTCACATCAACCAATTTGCAGGAGACAAAAATTAAAGCAAAGAGAAGCAAGAGTAAGGGAATGAAGAAGGTCACTAGCTAACTATGATGATGATAGCTTATTCTTTCTTGCATATCTTTTCATTCGTTTTTGGTTTTTGTTTTTTTTTCTTTTTCGTTTCTCTTTTTTTGAAGTATCCTTTGGATAATTTTATATTGTTTAATTTCTCTTATTTTGTTAAGCAATTTTAGGAATCTTCAGATTTTGGGTGTGTGTTTGGATTCCCTTACGTGACTTTATTTAATTAGCTGGGCATGAAAACAATAAACAAGATAGTAAAAGACTCTCCTACTGTAAGAAGCCAAGACCAAAGCTTCTACATAGACGCAGTATATTCTTTCGGTTCTCATAATGGGCTACTTAAAAAGTATCTTCGTTTGAGCAAACATGTTCTCTGTTACATATATATGCGCGTTCATAATTTTTTTTTGCCTCTCAAAAATTTGAATCCATGAGAAAAACATCATCATTGTTTTAGTTGCATAAATTTGCTTCTTCTTTTTTTTTTTGGGGTTTAGTATATAGTTTACACCTCTTCATCACTTTGACATTTCTTATAGCCTTAGTTGATACTATGTAAAATTGTTACTATGATACTTACCATTAATCTATTAGGGTTTTATATACGAAATCTACGATTTTAGTTCTAATTCATGGAGGTTTTTTTAATTCATTCTCGATTGGTCAATAGATTTTTATAAATGTGGCGTGTCTTTGAAGGGAAGTAAGTATTTTATTGCTCAGAAAAATAAGCAAAGGAAGAGAGAGGATCGGTAATTACTTTTGATTTTACTCAGAGAGATTTGTACGCTTTCTTCCTCTCCCGTTTCTTCTTGATGATAGAGATACTGGGACTCTATCTTTCTCTTAGAGACGAGATACTCGCGGTGTTATATCAGAAAATGGGAGCGTTAGAGATGATGCGGATTTGGGTTACAAACAAGATTGATCCAATATTGTGAGATTGTGGTGTCGTTGATCTCCGTCTTGAAATTTGATATGGGACCACTCACTGGTTTTGGTTTTCGGTTTTAGGTCGAAGCTGGTAATTTATTCATTGACGAGGAGAAGAAAGTCGCCGTGGTTTTTTTATTTACACGGTTCTGAACCGACTAGGACCCACTGGTGCAAGTGCAACACAGTTTTAATCATCTGGAGAGAATGGATACTTGAAAAAAGTGAAGCTTGGGGAAGATCGCCAAATATGTTACATGGTCGGAAATATATAGTTTCCCACGTGTATGTTCCAAGTTTTGTTCAAATCAACCAAAAACGTATAATAATAACAATAATTCTTTTTTTTTTTTTTTTTAATTCTTGGTCCCAAATTTCTCCCTACGGATGATGGACTGCAGCGAGTTGTGCATTATCTATTTGCTAAAAACGAGAAAATGCTTGTCAAGCTAGGTCACTATTGTTCATATTTTGGCTTCGGATCCATTTCTTCCAGCTTATACTTTTGGTTATGGTGCTATGGAAGCACAATTCACCATTTGTAGGGAAACCGGAGAACCCCGGAAAGGTGTCTTGGGAAAGAAGCAATCGTGACATCTCAATGTCTCAATGGCTTGGTAACTTAACTGTTAAGAGATAATAAGACAAAACGATCAAAGAGAGTTGAGTTTAGTTCTCATCAAACTAATTCGTGCTCATTTGTTTTCTTGATGATAGGTATCTACTAAAGAATGTCGAGAGTATGTATTAAAGATTCTCCATCCAATAAAAATAAATAAGCTTATTTCCTTAATGTGACTTGTATTCATTAAGCCTCATTATGGTTTCAATATTTTCAGAAGTGAGTTTTGGGAAAATTGGTCAACTGGTGGGCATGAATGAGGCGCCAGCTCCTAGATTGCCCTTCTGATTTGGCTTCAGAACAATATATGGTTTACTGTCTCTGCTTCTGTTCCACACCTTTGGCCCATGCTTTCAACTCTCAGCTCCCCCCTTTTATAGCTTATCTGCAACAAGAGATCATGTGAATAGATCGATCTCCATAAAAACTGTACTGAAAAAGATCCAAGAGAGTTTATGAAAAGGAAGGATCTTTCGATTGGATTCAAAGACGCGGTTCATGAAAAAAGTGTTGTTCAGGAGGGAAAGAGTGAGCAGCAAGAAATACATTGCCTTCACTATGTGAAGGATAAAAACAAAGATTTATAAAGGGTTTGGTTTTGTGAGTGTAAATTATATGTAATTGGTGTAAATCCTTATCATGAAAACAATTTTATAGATTATCAATCGAAACCATTACATTAAGTAGAGTAAATTGCGATGCGAGAGAGATAAAAATTAGCAAAGTATCAGAGAGTGAAAGAATCAAAAAAATTAAATTTGTCCCGCTAATGGCACTTAACCGTTGACGTGGCAGCCATGCACACAAAATCGATCTGTTGAATTGTCATATCTCTCAGCCGTTGGATCATAATCCGGTTCTTTTTTTGAGACGGAAACCCCATACCAAGTTTCATAAAACACGAAAAAGGTCACGAACCGTTTCGAAAACTACGGAAATGCCATTCATCGTCGTTAGCTATATAAACTCGCCTTCTCAAAGTCTTCTTCTCGGGAAAATCCCCCAAATCCTCCTTTCTCTCTTATTCTCCAAGTCAATTTTTTTTCGATTTTTAATTTCTCCGAAAACAAAACCGTAGAAGAAAGGAACCAGTTCCCAAAGCCTCTCCACCACATCAAAGACCCATCTCAAACAACTGCAGCTTGCTTTTCTTCTCTTTTTATAATGTTTGCTCAATTTCACATAAAAGTTTACTAGTAGGCAATGAACCGGATTTTTTCTTTTGGATTATAAATTTAAACTTCAAAAGCCGAAGTCTGGCTTGTTGTTTTTCTGAACTCGGGCTTGTTATATAACTTGACCATTGTAAACAGGGGAATGATTGCAGAGGAATGGTTTCAAACTGACTGCAGAGTATACAGGGGAGAAAAAAGAGAAAAAAAAAATGACTGCAGAGAGAGAGAAAAAAGACGAGTATCATGCTCGGGGAAACCACCCGTACGCTTGTATCATGAAAGTGTTTAGGTTAAACTTCTTGAAAATCGCAAATGCTTCCTCATACAATTGCCTAGAAAAGAGGACGCCGGTGAAATAGAAAATAAGAATAAAACCTAAAAAGTGATGCTGGTATCGCTCATTTTCTCTCATCAGCGTCGAGTAGAGGAAGAAAAGGAGAAAAACTATGACTAAAGGGGAATGGCTTCAAAGTGTTTTGAGAGGGAAGAAAAAGAGCAAAAACATAACTGCACACGAATGGTATCAAACTTGTTTTGAAAATATGGTTTCTGGAAGTCTATACCTTGCTCAGAGTGTCCTTACACTCATCTCTAAAGTCTCAACTTGTTTCCAGAGCGTTGAACATTCATGGGTGCGAGTTAATCAAGTCGCAGCACCGTATCGCACAACCTAAGCCTTCTTGGACCACTTTGCATTGTGGGGAGAGTAACTTCCTTGATATGGCTCTAAATGGAATGATTTCAACTGCATTGGAAAGAAAACTCAAATATCTCAAACATTGGTGAAAGAAGCTTCGGCGCTTGGGAAGTGGAAGGTTTCCTGGAGGGCTCATCTTCGCAGTGTATTGACACGATCAGAAAGAGGCTTCTAGACATGCGTCCATTCCGGAAACGTTATCTTCTTACTCATAGCTCCGAATTGAATGATCTCAGACGTTATGTAAATAGGACTCAAATATATCGGATCCTGATGAAAGCTCTGTAAACTGAATCGGTCTGGAAGTGCATCTTCCTTCGCATTTTTTGGAGCTCATCGGGTCGGTCTAAAACGGCAGCGAGACAGGCGTGCCTTCCGACGAGCTTAACTCTCTGCTCACACCTCCAAATCCTATTATTCCACCTGATCTGGAACCATGATCCAATCTTCTCCAACTTTGGTGAAGCCACTGACAGCTGAATCGGAATGGAAGGTTCCCCGGACAGACGATCATTCAGGAGTATCGGATTGCTCCGGAATGGATGCGAGAGAGGTCTGTCTTTCGGTGACCGTATCTTTCAGCTCAGTGCTCTAAATGCCCTGATTCAACCTGTCCTGGGTTCTTGACTCAATTATCTCCAACTTTGTTGAAGACCCTGTAAGCTGAATCGGCCGGAAAAAGCTTCCGGTGACGCGATTTCGGAAATGTATCTGCACTCGGAATTTTTGGCCGAGAGACTTGACCGCGGTATGTGTTTTTGGCCGAGAAAGCTACCCGCGGGAAGGATTTTGGCCGAGAATCTTCGGCCATCAGTACATCATTTTGCCGAGAAACCCAAAAATTGCTCCTTTTCACTATTTTTGATAAGTTCAACTCCATTTCTTCATCTGAATCACATCTTCCACTCCAAATAAACTCCAAAAGCACCTGTTTAACACTCCAAAACATGTAAAACTCTCTTGGACCTAATGCAATCTCCTAAGTCCTAAAACAATGCTTAAAGACCTAAAATACATGCAAATGAGACACGATTTGGACTAGAATATGTACATTAAATGATGCAATTTATGAATATATCATAGATTAAATACTAAATCGAGTTTGGAAACCAAATACGTTCACATTTTGCCATAAACCAAATACTAAATCGAGTTTGGAAACCAAATACGTTCACTAGTAGATTAAATACGTTCACATTTTGCCATAAAAAGATAAAAAGATGGATAATCCTAATTGATTGGTGCTGCTGGGTTCTTCTTACTCCTCTTTGTCTTCCCGGCATCGTAGGGAGTTATTACTGCAAACATTATTTTATAGTTTTTCTCTAGTTGTACCAGTATTATAAACATACGTTCACAGTTTTACTCTACTTGTTCACAGTTTTAACCTAGTTGTACCAGTAGTACAAACATTATTTCATAGTTTTCTCTAGTTGCACCAGTATTACAAACATACGTTCACAGTTTTACTCTAGTTGTTCCCAGTTTTACCCCAGTTGTACCAGTAGTACAAACATTATTTCATAGTTTTTCTCTAGTTGTACCAGT